TGGGAGGTACAGTGCAGCAATAATCTATTGATTTGTATTTTCAACTCAGAGAGTTTATTTGTGTTTGTGTGTGTATGCGTGCACTTTTTTTTATACGGTGATCTAAATTTTGGAGTAATGCACATACTGAGGTAGAGAAAAATGTATTCATTATTTAAATATCTTATGCCTATTTTTTGTCTCTTAAAAACACCACATCGAAACAGGGCTACAGCTAGGCCTTATAGCCATGGTTTTTAAACCAAGGCACAAGCAAGTTTCAGAGGAACCATCATGTAATTTTAAAAATTGGTGCATTTGTATATATAACCCCCCCCCCCCCCCCCCCCCCCACCAATATTTCAGTTTGATTATAACCAAAATTCTGAAAACTATTTATAAAACAAAAAGCCAAGAAGGTTATGTTATTTGACACTGATTTATGTGGATGTTTTTCTCCAAGTTCTAGTTTACGCTGCGTGGGATTTTCATTTTGTCCTACTCTATCTGATTTTATTTTTTGTTCTAAAGTTACGGAAGAAAAAAAAAAAGGGGGTGGTCGCTTTCTAAAAAAAAAACAAGATTGAAAACAACTGCCTTACAAGGATAGTAACCTGAAACTTTAAGTGCTGTCTGCAAGGAATCTGTGCCATAATAAATATGTAAATACTGATGTCCTAATATTTTTTTTACTAGCATTCCGTGTAACAACTGACTGAACATCATCATTATGTGCCAAAACATTTTATGCTATAGTACACAAATTTGAGCAAAATTACCACTGGCAAGAAAGCTTTTTTGCTTTAGTGATAAAACACGGATGAAAGATTGGGGCCGCATTTGTGCTTAACAACAGAATTACAAAATGTAGAACACACACACACACATGAAAACTCACAAAGACGATATTAACAGTATGGAACATTAGGACTTGGACGGAATGTAGATATTAACGCAGAATAAACAAAACAAAAAAACACAAGTTACAAGTATTGGATATTAATTTTAAGTTAAAAAATGACATCATAGCACTCAGGATATTCCCATAAGTGCTCCGTCCCATTTTCAGCAGCAAGCGCTATCGGATCATTTATGTAGGGTATAAACTTTGGTAAAGAAAAGACCCATTTATGCCACCCGCACATCCAGCAAATGATGCTAGGCCCATCAGCACTCTATGGCTGATGTGGACAACATCCTGTTGACTGCTGTTACTTCCTAGGACAATACCTGCTACCCATTTTAGACTGGGCTGACCTGGAACATAAAAAAAATAACAACAAAATCTAACTCAATGTGAATCTGAACCCAAGAACTGGCAGGAGAGATTCTAGTCTCTACGCTACGCTGGCTCCCACAGATATTTGTAATCTAGGATTAATTCTGTGCTCTCAATCGGACAGTGTAGAGGTGAGAGGGGCGACTTTGTTGTGATGGGGCTCAGTCTCTCTTTCTGCACTGTGGCTGGTTAGTCAATGAGAGTGTTGCTACCTTAATAGCTTCAGCAACAACTCCAAGAGATCTTAGAAACATCTGCACTTGTGAAGTAAAGGTTTGAGTCTCACACTGAACTCACAACATTCACAGCATGGGCAAATGCCTTAAACCAGTCTTTCTTTTTTGGTAAATAGAGAATCAAGGATATAAAGGACCTTTTGTTGCGTGCTGATTGAGGGTGTAATATTGTGTGAAGGGACAGAGTGGTATAATAGTACTTTCTGTGAGTTCACGGGGAATTAATGTCAACATTGGCCCGACTATTGAGGGCAGAGAGGGTTGATCAGTGAAAATGTATTTATCACACACAAGGCGTGCACGCACGAGAAAAAGTAGACACGTGGGTTACTGTGTGGGGGCTGAAAGCATGGCTAACGAGATAAACAGAGAAAGTGTGAATTACGTGACAGCGTGATTCTCAGGTAACATCAGCGTGATCTTTGTAAACATCATCCACCCACACAGATTTGACAGGAATAAATTGGGGCTGCGTAGACAGTCCGAGTCAGTTAGCTGTAGCCAAAGGGCTAAAGCACTGGGGAAGTGCGGGTGTAGTACACACCCAGCACGAAAGTGCTGCGAGCCAGTCAGAGTCCAAGATAGAGAATTGAGAAATCATCAGACGTGAAGGTCTGTGTAAGGGTTTAGGACAAACAGAGTACCATACAACTATCAGGCATCAAGGCCTGAGTAAGTGTTGTGGTACGGAGTGCAGACAGACAGAATACCGTACGACTATCAGGCATTAAGGTCTGAGTAAGTGTTGAGGTTGCGGTAATGGTCGAAGGTAAGGTCCCGCTGGCGAATAAGTCCAAGGGGACGGGATGCTCCAATAGTACCTGTTCTGGGTGGCGACGTAATGAAACGTAGGAAGACCACTAGTGAAACAGAACAGGGGGGTGATGCCGACGAGAGCTGTGTGCTAGAGGGGACTTATGGTAGAAGTCCTGTCAGTCATCAGAGCCCTTCGACAAGCTGACGAAAGCAGTGTGCTTTTGGAGTACGGCAAGGAGAGTCCGTCTCCAGTCAGCCGTGGTTGTCTCCAGTCAGCCGTGGTTGTCTGCTGAAATAATATTAAGGTCCAGTGGATAGAAGAATTCATCTTATTCAGCTGTACGGCGTGTCCAGAGTGTGGGATGCTGTAGGCCTTGGAGCTGTAGTGGTCAGGGAGAGGTCGCTACAAATTGAGAGAGAGCGAGTGAGGACAAATGGACTATGTGCGAATGTCAAGTGTGATCAATGTCTACGTCTCTGCAGTTTTGTTGATGTTAGGGCTGGTGTATACCCTCTTGTGTTCTGTCAAAGATGCTATGTGATGGAACTATTATCGTCGAGTCCAACTTCAAAGAGTGAGGTAGCAAAAGTTACATCTTTTGGACACTTGGTAGTGTGCGATTAGTGTGTAACTCAGATAGCAAAAAACAGCTTTAAAACTCTTAGCTTCGGAATGCAATCCTTTTTGCGATAAAAAAAAAAAATTGGGTTAATTGCAGGCCCTTATAAAAGAGAGATCCACAAGTCTAAGCCATTTGGGAACTATTACTTCAAACTATCAATGCCCTCAGAGAAATGGGAAGAATAGAGGACTTTGGTGGCAGTGAATCCACATCACTCGCCAGAATGGCAGACTTGGGAATTAAGATCGGCACAGCAAAAAACGAGACGCACACCAGCTACGCCAGAAGACTTGTTAATCAACATAGAACTGGTACTATTAGCCATCGGACGTTGGGGTTCATACTGAGGGGAGGATCTGAGCACCTATGGACATGTCCGGAGTGCAATGAGGATAACCCAACTAACTAACTAACTAACTAACAAAATTACTTCAAACAATTTGCCTTAGAACCTCAACCCATGAAACACTACCTCACTCATAAAGCTACTTCCTAGTTACCTAGGTTTTAAACCCTTTTGCCCAGATGATGACCTACAAATATAAAAAAAGTCAATAAACCATATTTTGCAAATCCTAAAAAAAAAAAAAAAAAATACAAGTACACCTATTTACAGTGGTCGAAAAAGAAAACAATAACAACATAATTCCAGTTATGGACCAAATTAGTTTCCATACAAAACAAGAGGAGTAATCAGTAAACACGAATGCAGCAGAGAATTAACCATATACACAAGTTATTTGGTAACCCATACTTGATCCCCTAACCTGCTGGCCGGTAAACACCAGAGTAACAGGAAAATATGACATCATAATTTCTATTAAAAAATAATTTGTTCATAAAGAAAAACCCCCATAAATGCTATTTTTCATTAACATAATCAATTCTGGTCCTCCTAAACAGGAGAGTACGACACAGATGCCATTACCTATACTTCTCACAAACAAGCCACTATATTAACTCTACCAGACCTCAGGCCCTGAACCACCACTATATTAACCCTACCAGACCTCAGGCCCTGAACCTAACTGCCTCCTATACTTGACCTCATGGGCATTAACGCAAAAAAACCAGCATGATATACAAAAATATTAGTTGCATGCAAACAAGTGGCTAGAATAAGATGAAACTTGGAGACATTGTAGAAAATAGGTATACCTTTAATCTAGCGCAAATATTCCACCTTTGTGTGCTAATCCACCCAGCATATTTAACCGTTTCACAAAGTGAACACTAGATGTTGCTGTTTAAGGGACACGCCCCTTTCTCCTACTTTTGATCTATTTCTAGATTTATAATTTTCAAGATTATCCTCATCATTCCACATCTCACTGACTGTGACACTTCAACTGAGAACGTATTCTTCATGAAATTATGGCTCCTCAGAGTCTGAATCAACCAAAGTATTGATCACCCGTTGAGCTGTGAAAAGCTAAATCAACACAAATTTAATCCAAACACATGCAGGCGGACATCTGGGAAGACTATCCACAAGATCTGATTACGATTAGCTAGTTATTTTTAGTTTGTGAGGCACTGTTTTCTCGTAGTATGCTAATTCCCGACATTGAGGGACAGCAGTATAGCGGCAGGTTAGGAAATTCCCGTAATAGCAGGTCAGCGGTCTGGTAGAGTAAAGACGGTAAAGTGACCTTTATGGACCCAACTAGAAGTGTTGGTTTTGCAGCAATATGGTTTAGTTTATTTAACTGCTTCCCTTACATTATTCTAAATTATTAACTCTACTAAATTTTTTTTGAATTTTCAAGTTGGTAATAGCTTTTCCAATCATCTGTAGCTAACCAATTTGACATATGTTTTGGCATTTATTGTTTTTTGACTTTTGTTATGCAAAGGAGACAAACAGTATCCTAGCCATTCAGCTCTGCCTCATAAGGCACTAGTGTTTTGCTTCAAATGTCATTAGTTTTGCTCCCAATGGCATTAGCTTTGTTTGAAATGACCCTAGTTTTGCGTCAAATAGCACCAGCTTTGTTTGAAAAGATTAGCTCAGCTTTAAAGACCACTAGCTGTCCATCAAATGCCACCAGCGGTGCTGGAACAACACTAACTTTGCTTCCAACGACACCAATGAAAGAATAATACTAAAGGACACACAAATCTCTGTTAACTGCCTTCCAGCAAACTCTGCAACATTTGCAGCTGTCTCTGTGTGTTGGTGGGCTCAGCACTGGCCTTCTCTAGCAGGCTCTGACCCATGCACTCGTGCAACTTGCAGGCCAGTAGACTAGTAGCCTGCCGCAGGTCCCCACTGCCCCCATGGATGGCTGCCCCACTGGTATTCATGGATCCAAGAAGGTGCCACAGCAGCGGCAGGACATGAAGTACAACTTGCTTCTGTTTGCGGGGGTAGACGCGTTCTACAAGATCTGTGAACATTTTTTAAAAAATCATCAACAGATTAAGCATATATAAAATTGATAAAAAAAGACACCAAAAAAACTGTTTACTGAGCAAGCATTTAGCACTTTTCAGGGCAGACTGGGACAAAGGGGTCTTGAATCTGAAAAGTTTAGGGTCGCCAAATTTTTTGCAAGTTAGAATTTATTTGTTCTGTCCCGTGACAGAAAAAAAATCCATCACCTTGCACACGATTTAAATAAGAGCCGAGGAATTTTAAATGCTAAGCGACTCCTGCTACTCCTCTGCCAGCCACATGAGATTAAAAACTAGAAAGAAAAACCTCACTTCCATTCAAGGTCTGCTCAAAAAGAAGCTACTCCTTGGCCAACCTCATGAGATTAAAAACTAGAAAAAAAAAACCCCACTTCCATACAATGGTCTGCTCAAAAAGTATTCATCCTGTGGTAGAATTACTCTCCTGGAGATCTGAAATTCTAATCCCTTTCAAAGTAATCCTTTTGAGACAACACACAATTATTCCATCAGTTCCACCATTACCGGAAATATTTCATGAAGGCTTCTAAATTAATGGAGCCCTGCTAAGTCATCAGGTTCTTTACACTGTCTTCTTGAAGTCAAATCTGCTCCTTTGTTGTGATCTTCTCAGCTTCACATCACTGGGAAATGAAAATTAAGACTACCGGGTTGATAGGCAAGTATGCAAGTCACTATAATACCATAACTACCCTACAACCATGTTGCCACACACACAAATGTTACCTGGAGAAGAATCTAAACCCAACATCACTGAGCCAACAGACAAGTGTATTAGCCTCTAGCAAATTATAAAAAAAAAAAGTACAAAGTAAAGGTCCCTTTTCCACACTTTTAGGCATATAGGGCTAGGCCTATATTTTTATAGAGCAATCGGCACAAGATGGGTGATGTAGTCAGCATCATGCCAGCCGCCTTTACTTCCCAGGACTGCACCCGGTACCCACTCAAGGCTGGGCGGACCTGGGAGACAAGGTCCTTTTTGAACTAGCAAATTATGGTTAAACAAAATGAGATTCCTGGCAAAAATATACTCTCTGTATAATCGCCATGTCGTTATTAACACAAGACACATTCACAAGTTATTCATTTATGCTGCATCACTGCCTGTGATATCACATGTCATTGAACATTCCTTCATTTTCCTTTCTACTGTCCTCCATGTTTCCTTATATTGTCCATATCTTTCCTATCTACTACTGTTCATTGAAGAGCTGTTATTGCCAAAGTGTCATGAGGCATTCTGCAAACATGTCCAAGCCATCTTCACATTCATACTTTGATAATGTTCATCGGTGATGAATATTTTGTTTTCCCTCTTAATTTGTGATCACGTTTTACTAACACAGGATTCCCCTTAGACATTCATTTTATACTATTCCTACAGTACACTTTTCTTTCAATTTTCTCCACAGCCAAGTTGAAAATGGTGGAGGAAATCATGCATGTCAACAGCCTTCACACTCTAGTGATGTCTGCAATCTGATTACTGTCCATCCAGGACCCAAGACATCCTTCCCCTCTGCCATACTCTATCTCTTTTACTATTAATATTACCAGTTGCAGTGAAAAATAAACATCCTAACCTGCACAGTGCATGGCAACAGCACTAGCCATACAGCCCTAAATCCTCAGTCCCCAGGCCCACCTGTCTACACCGCCTTGAACAGCGGTAAATACAGACAGTAGTCATAGTTTTATTGCCAGCTGTAATTTTTCCCGCCCCTATTTTCTTGATAAAAAAAAATGTTAACTACTTCTAGTTGATGTTGATGACACATTTTCAGTGTTTCTTGACATGGTAAAAAATGTCGACTATTTTGTTTTGAAGCTTCCATTTTGTCCCTATTCTTTTCCCTGTTGAAGTACATTGTACATGACTAACTTTCTTTGTGTTTTGACCCTCCCACAACACACCCTTAGTCTAGTAAGTCTATGTTAACGATAACATTTTTCTATTAATCTTGATCTGCTGCTTCAAGGAAGCATCTTTGCTGGGAATCATCCACATCTTAAATTTGGCCATTTCAAGACTACTGAAAGAAAAAAACCAAATTAATCGGAAACAAGAAGGCAAACACTTACATGCAACTTTGAGAACTAAATCAGCCTTGCTTCTTGATGTTGCATTGATTGCTTGGTTAGAAAATGGTTGTACCAGTAATGACAGATCTGCAAATATATCATGATATTGTTACTTACTGGCTTCTACTAAAACCAAGCAAAAGATATATATTTATTCTTCAGGATATATAAAATGTATAAACAGTAGGGCTGTTCCGAATATTCGCTTCGTATTCGCTTCAGGGCCGAATAGTGGACCTATTGACTATTCGGTATTCGGCCGAATAGTTGTGGTTGGGCAGAATGCGAATAGTAGTTACCTCACACCCGCTTCTGCATACATGGCCTTAATGCTGACCACATGGAACGATGGGTTTTGTTGAAAGCTAATGCACCTTTCATTTTTTAACTAAGCTGTCAGTGACAATTTCCAAGTTTAGTTACTTGGTATAATACTAAGGATTCTTTCATTCCTAGTTATTGATTATCACAGAATGACTGAAGGATGCAAAACATAAAATATTTTTTAATGTTTACCAATCTGTACGAATACTAACTAGACATGGAAAGAATATAAACTCTGGCCACATCCAAGTCGATAATGTGAAAATCAAACGAACGGAAACATATAAGTACTTGGGTGCAAACTTCAACTGCTCCAACATGCTGAGAGAAGAAATACAATGTAGAATACAATCTACAAATAAAGTTTACCATGCCCTACAACATCTGCTAAAGTCAATTGTATGTCTTGCAACATCAATATAAAAATATATAAATCGTTGATAAGGCCAGTCATGTTATATGGCTCTTAAACTTGAAGCAGAAATGAAAAAGATGAGGCCTTATTACAGGTTTTCAAAAACAGCCTGCAGCAGTAAGCCTCAAGGGCTCAGAATGCTAAAGAAGAAGATGACTATTCTGTGCTACTTTATGTGAAGTAAAAGTTCAGCGTACTTTTGACATTATGAATGTGTGTGTGTGTGTGTTTTGTTTGGATATATTTCATACACTATTCACTATTCGTATTCGACCTAATAGTTGTTCCCATTATTCGTATTCGGCCAAATCACTATTCAGTACAGCCCTAATAAACAGTATAGTTAAAAACAGAATCCACCATAAACGACTGAATATTATATAAACAATTTAGCAATTTAAAATACTAAATAAAATTTGTTTATCATTCATTTTCCCCTAGTGCATAGGTGTCCTTTCAGCTTACTCATACCCTTAATTTAGTCGTCAACTTAAAGCAAAATATGTTTAAAGGTTCACTTAGACAAACAAGGACACTAGTGATTCCATCAAGGTAGCCAAGAGATAAGCTCTTTAGAATACTTATATGAGGTCTCCTTGCTGGTGTGCAAGACATGAGTGCTAATCATCTACCTCTATCAAGGAAAACTGCTGTTAACCCAGTCATCATGAAATGCAAAATCTAGTCACTTCTGATTGTGACACAGCCCCAAAAATGACAATATTTTGCCATTTCTGTAGTGACATGTTCTAGAAAAGTGTAGTTAAATGCCACTGATTCTGTGTACGTCTTCACAGGATGTGAATATATTACTAAGAAAGGTTTCTTTGTAAATCCAAAAGCTTTTTTTTAAAAACAACCAGGACTTTCCGCCAGTAACAAAGAAGAAATAAAATGAAAGATTACTCCATTTTTATTTCATTATATATTTCAAAACAAAGTCAAATTAGCACATCACCTAGACTACCAAAGTCTTAGCACATCATTTAGACTATTCAAGTCAAATTAGTTCACCATCAAGAATACACAAACCAATATAGTGAATAACCTAGAGTTCACAAGTTAACTTAGGGACATACAACTTGCCTAAATTCTCAATGAAGCCCTCCAATATCTCAGCTGCTGTTGAGTTGATCTCTCTGTTCTTGGAGCTGAGGTTTGGAGCCACTGAGGCAACAGTCATGCTGATGACATTAGCCAGGTGATCTCTGAGGATGGGGGTCACCTGTAGCATCACCTTCAATGCATATATGTTGACCTTGGAGTTGGAATCTTGCAGTCGAGGTAGGAACTTGTCAAATATCTGCAAATAACACTTGTGGTATGGAAACACTATTTAAAAAAAAAAGAAAAGATAAGCTATTATACTTTTATAGGTTACTGCAAGAAATGGCGCATCGAGTGGAGTGAAAAAAAGACAAGTAAAATGGAGTGGAGTGAAACAAAGACAAGTAAAATGGAGTGGAGTAAAACAAAGACAAGTAAAATGGAGTGGAGTGTAACAAAGAAAAGTAAAATGGAGTGAAGTAAAATGGAGTGGAGTGAAACAAAGACAAGTAAAATGGAGTGAAGTCAAACAAAGACAAGTAAAATGGAGTGAAGTCAAACAAAGACAAGTAAAATGGAGTGAAGTCAAACAAAGACAAGTAAAATGGAGTAGAGTGAAACAAAGACAAGTAAAATGGAGTAGAGTGAAACAAAGACAAGTAAAATGGAGTGAAGTCAAACAAAGACAAGTAAAATGGAGTAGAGTGAAACAAAGACAAGTAAAATGGAGTGAAGTGAAACAAAGACAAGTAAAATGGAGTGAAGTCAAACAAAGACAAGTAAAATGGAGTGAAGTCAAACAAAGACAAGTAAAATGGAGTGAAGTCAAACAAAGACAAGTAAAATGGAGTAGAGTGAAACAAAGACAAGTAAAATGGAGTGGAGTGAAACAAAGACAAGTAAAATGGAGTAGAGTGAAACAAAGACAAGTAAAATGGAGTAGAGTGAAACAAAGACAAGTAAAATGGAGTGGAGTGAAACAAAGACAAGTAAAATGGAGTGGAGTGAAACAAAGACAAGTAAAATGGAGTGAAGTGAAACAAAGACAAGTAAAATGGAGTGGAGTGAAACAAAGACAAGTAAAATGGAGTGGAGTGAAACAAAGACAAGTAAAATGGAGTGGAGTGAAACAAAGACAAGTAAAATGGAGTGGAGTGAAACAAAGACAAGTAAAATGGAGTGGAGTGAAACAAAGACAAGTAAAATGGAGTAAAATGGAGTGAAACAAAGACAAGTAAAATGGAGTGAAGTCAAACAAAGACAAGTAAAATGGAGTAGAGTGAAACAAAGACAAGTAAAATGGAGTAGAGTGAAACAAAGACAAGTAAAATAGAGTGAAGTCAAACAAAGACAAGTAAAATGGAGTAGAGTGAAACAAAGACAAGTAAAATGGAGTAGAGTGAAACAAAGACAAGTAAAATGGAGTGGAGTGAAACAAAGACAAGTAAAATGGAGTAGAGTGAAACAAAGACAAGTAAAATGGAGTAGAGTGAAACAAAGACAAGTAAAATGGAGTAGAGTGAAACAAAGACAAGTAAAATGGAGTGAAGTCAAACAAAGACAAGTAAAATGGAGTGGAGTGAAACAAAGACAAGTAAAATGGAGTAGAGTGAAACAAAGACAAGTAAAATGGAGTAGAGTGAAACAAAGACAAGTAAAATGGAGTAGAGTGAAACAAAGACAAGTAAAATGGAGTAGAGTGAAACAAAGACAAGTAAAATGGAGTGCAGTCAAACAAAGACAAGTAAAATGGAGTAGAGTGAAACAAAGACAAGTAAAATGGAGTAGAGTGAAACAAAGACAAGTAAAATGGAGTAGAGTGAAACAAAGACAAGTAAAATGGAGTAGAGTGAAACAAAGACAAGTAAAATGGAGTGAAGTCAAACAAAGACAAGTAAAATGGAGTAGAGTGAAACAAAGACAAGTAAAATGGAGTGGAGTGTAACAAAGACAAGTAAAATGGAGTGAAGTAAAATGGAGTGGAGTGAAACAAAGACAAGTAAAATTGAGTGGAGTGAAAAAAAGACAAGTAAAATGGAGTGGAGTGAAACAAAGACAAGTAAAATGGAGTGGAGTAAAACAAAGACAAGTAAAATGCAGTGGAGTGTAACAAAGAAAAGTAAAATGGAGTGGAGTAAAATGGAGTGGAGTGTAACAAAGAAAAGTAAAATGGAGTGGAGTGAAACAAAGACAAGTAAAATGGAGTGAAGTGAAATAAGACAAGTTAAATGGAGTGGAGTGAAAAAAAGACAAGTAAAATGGAGTGAAGTGAAATAAGACAAGTAAAATGGAATGGAGTGAAACAAAGACAAGTAAAATGGAGTGGAGTGAAACAAAGACAAGTAAAATGGAGTGAAGTCAAACAAAGACAAGTAAAGTGGAGTGAAACAAAGACAAGTAAAATGGAGTGAAGTCAAACAAAGACAAGTAAAATGGAGTAGAGTGAAACAAAGACAAGTAAAATGGAGTGAAGTCAAACAAAGACAAGTAAAATGGAGTAGAGTGAAACAAAGACAAGTAAAATGGAGTAGAGTGAAACAAAGACAAGTAAAATGGAGTGAAGTCAAACAAAGACAAGTAAAATGGAGTGAAGTCAAACAAAGACAAGTAAAATGGAGTGAAGTCAAACAAAGACAAGTAAAATGGTGTGGAGTGAAACAAAGACAAGTAAAACGGATAGGCATGCAACACTCAGGTTCTGGAACAAGTCTAAAGTCCAGAGGTGGATGAACAGCCAGAACTTTCTGCCAGAGTTTACAACCCGTGAATAAGAATAAGAATGGCTTTTTCCTGGGAATGCTGACCAATATGTTCTCTCATTCCTACATTCTGACAGAGCAAAATAAAGAAAAATGGCATCCTTAATGGTCACTTTTAGTGTGTATTAGGGTTTGATCGTTGGCACATTTATTTCTTCTCAGAAGACAGTGTTATTTCATGCTTTAGGGTTGCATGAGAATCACAATGATGGCAAGAGTGACTAGCAAGTGGTGCTTGTGTTAAGAAAAGTTTTAAATAAAAGCCAGAGAGGAAGTGCTCCACTCAGTAGCACAAAACCTGTGTAATTGTAGTGCAGAGATTTTGTGTTGCCTATGCGGCATGATCCCTCACTCAGCCTGCTTTGTTTAACACCAATACATCAGGACACTGTGTATTAGTCTATGGACAGTGAGTGGAAAATCATAACAACAGAGATGAGACAACAAGAATAAAGTGAACAATGAGATTTAAAATTAAAAGTAAAGTGGAAGACTGGTAATGACATCTGTCAAATAATTTATGAAAGAACAAAATATGATGTGATTTGCCAAATCTGACTAGAATCTTCTGCTCTCAACTACACCTAATGCCACCGCTTCAGTGTAACATAATGAACATATGCAATGACTGCACCAAGGATAACTCTAGAGAAATGAGAACCAACTTCCACAGTGTATTAACAAGAGAACACATAGAAGATCCTTTCACCTTTCCCTAACACTTTGCTGAGGCAGCTGGAAGAGGATAAGAGGAATGGAAGATCTTTTATACTTGATATTTTTCCTGGTGGCCACGTGCTGTAAGATTCTTCTGCTACTGAAAGAGGCATAGAGCATCATGGTTAGCCGATACTGTTACAAAAGCAGAGCAAATGTTGATTGCTGAAGAAGATAAAGCTCACACTGCAAAAGAAAATACTTTATGCTTCCTCTTCTTCCACTGATCTCCTAAAAGAGGGTAGGCTTTCATCTAACTCACATCAAGTTATTTTGTCCTTTGCTATTATATGCAGCTCACTCTATGTCATCCCCACCTCTTTCACAGCAGTCCCTGAGCCTACCCATATTCCTCTGACCTTGTGGGTTACAGTGCAAAGACATTAGTGTTAGACTGTTATGTTTTCTAGGGACTGCAAACATCATTTTTGTTTCACCTGAAGATTCACTGAAATATGCTTAGTTCTCTTCCAACTATACATATATATATTAGTGATTTTGCCATACCATTTGATTCCTTATATTCTGTGCAGGAACTAGTTACTGAACGTTTGTAGCTGATTAGTAATTTGTGTTGTATATGTTTCCGCTTTGTACAGCAGTACTGACTTGACATTAAAGCTAAATTTCTAAATTTGAGACACATTTTCAGTTGCCCTTGATGTCCACACTTCCTAGTGAAAAAGCTCCATGATTAGCTGATACTGCAGCAGAAACACTCACCTTTATAATATGTGTGGAAACTAACATGGGATTTGTTTCACACATGGACAAAAACTTAGAAATGCCTTCATATCGTTGCTGCCAGTTGTTGGCACTCAGAAGCCCAATCATGGTCATCACCTCCTCCATGTGAGCGTCATTCGTTCGGGTTAGAGTTCTTCGCTTCAGGGGCTGGTTGCCCAATCCACTATCAGCAGAGCTGCAAAAAGGAAACTAATTAAGTAAATCCCAAATTCTGAGGGATCCCATTTTAGGGAAACAAATAACAAACCCACTGTTCATCAAACAAGCAAGTCATACGAGGCGACTAATTAATGATGTTTTTTTTGAAATCAGCATGCATCTGCCTAAAAGACAAGGAACTAACAATGTGCATACAAATAAGCAAGATCAGTATAAGGGATGTTCAAGCAAAACTCAATTTCTGGAACAAGACTTCTAAAAGTGGATGAACAACCAGAATTTACAGCCGGGGAACACCTAGGAGAAGTAAATAAATAATTTTCACGAAAATCCCCATCAACCAACTCCAAACCTGATCTGTTTGTATTAGGGTCTAGACAAGTGGTTCTCAATTAGGTTAGACCCGCATACCCCTCCTTATTTTAGATGGCCTTCAAGAGACCCAATACGTGTTTTAATATTCATATTTAAAACTTGTTTTTCATTTATAAATATTAGAATTGCAAAAAATGACAACATTCTAAACTTGATAATTTTTTTTTTTTTTTAATGACATCATGGACCCTTAAATTTGGCCAGGGAGGTCTACAGATCAGCTAATGGAAAACACTAGCCAAGACAGACTATAGTTTTCCCAAAGTGGGTGCTACTGTCCCCTTGGGAAATACAGAACAAGTGGGAATTGGCTGGAATGGTCCTGTAGCAGCCTCGCTTGCAACAGGAGAGAAAGGAATACAAATACAGATTTCAGCATAAAAACAAAGACAAGAAGCAACACATTTTGAAAAAACCTTTGGAGTCTGTTTCATCTATTATGCAGCAAAGTTAAATTTGTATTATTTACCTGAGTGATAAATAAGCACAGAAACCTATGGTCTTCATAGACTTCAACTAAGTTTACCCAGGATAACATTTTGAAAATGAGGATCATCACAGACCAGGGGCACAAGCCCCATCATTGAAAGATCATTAATATAATACAATTGGTAATGATCAGTGGGCCACTTGCTAAGCCTTCGCAGGCCAGATCTGGCCCTCGGGCCACCAAGTGAATAGCCCCGGTCTAGACTTTGTAGACATCTCATAAAATATGAAGGGGATGATATACTCCTCCTTAATTCTTCAATGGCAGATCAATGCCAAACAATTTGTTAAGACTTCGGAGGTGTGGTTTTACAGAAAAATCCTATAATTCCTTGGACAGCTAAACAGTGTAACCCAGATGCCTTGAAAGAGGTAAGGGATCAAAGACAACTTATCACAAATTATCAGAAAGAGAAATCGTCGTTTGTTGGGTCATGTTATGAGAAGAAGGAAACTGGAACATGTAGTGACCACTGAAAAGTTAAGCTAGTTGTGTATCCTTTGCAGGAGGTTGCAGAACCAACACCAGCATTTTTTTTTAAGCTATTGTAGTTTTTCTAGGCAAATTTTTTGTTCATTAGTTTGCTATTGCTTCCTAAACAGTCACTTCTCATATCACTGTCGAAACAACAAAGTTGCAAATACAAGCTGAAAAGTTCCTCAGTATGCCAGAACACCCGATGGAAAATAGATTTAAGAACCTAGCCTTGGGACGGTTAAAAAGAAGCAGCTTTATACACCAAGCAAAAAGAATATGTAGACAAACTCCTGACCTTCCAGAAATTGGCTGCCCACTTAAAAGTATTCCGGAACAAAACCCCATGGAGAGAAAAATGTAAACTAACGGTACAAATCCAGACAAATTTGAAAGGGATATTTGACAAGAAAGAGCAAGATAGTGTACAACGCAAAATGGCCACCCTCAGTTATATTGATGAAGAATACCCACAAGAACAATGGGTCAAAGTCTATACAGATGTGTCCGCAGAAAGTGCAGTTAGAAATGGTGGTGCTGGAGTGTACATCGAATTCCCAGATGGTACTAGGGATAAGTCCAGCGTACCAACCGGGAAGTACTGCCATAACTACGATGCAGAAACCCAGGCTATTAAGATAGCTACAGAGAAACTGCTAAAGACCAACCTTGGCTCACAGTATGTGGTAATGCTTACAGATGCTAAATCAGTACTTGAAGCACTCCAGTCTAGGAAACTACCAGAATTGCAAACACTGCTGACACAACTCAGCGTTCAGCGAAGAGTCGTAATGCAGTGGATACCGTCTCATTGTGGAGTGCCTGGAAATGAGAAAGCTGATCAACTGGCAGGGGAAGGTGCGACAAAAGAGCAGCCAGATGTACCAGTCACATACCACCAAAAGAAAAGAATCATTAAATCGATCAGGAAACCACCAGCCCCAGCACAAGATGACTATTTTTTTATGGACAGACCAGAACAAGTCATTATCTTCCGCCTCAGAACAGGGCACAACCGATTACGTAACCACATGTACACAAAATTCAAGATAAGTGTATTAGCCATGTGCACCTGTGGAAATGTGCCCCAGACCGCAGAGCATGTACTCCAGGACTGCACCAATTTTGACACATTAAGGCAAACCTTTTGGCCAGAAAGAACAACAGTGGAACGTAAACTCTATGGACCACTGAATGAACTAACAATGACAGTGAAATTTATACAAGAGACAAAACTGCTGATATAGATAACTTATTTCAGGCGAACGAAAGAAGAAGAAGAAGAAGACTGTCGAAACCATCACAAGACAAATCGTCTGCAGGTGGGATCAAACCCAGTACCTCGGCATTACGAAGCAGATTCACAATGCCTAAGCCATAGACGATAAAAGATCGGTGCAAAAAAGACACAGGAAGAGAACCCAAAATGATTCTCGACAGCCTCTTGTCATGACTATTGTCATGGCATGGAGGGTTGTCACAACATGAACTGATACATACTATTGTAGATCACAGACTGTGAGAAGGCATAATCACCTATGCAAGTTGGCCAGGCACTTAATGATGATGAGATCAGATATGTACATTTCTCAGAAAAGGACACAAAATTAGAGGGATCTGTAGTACATGGTGCACATAAAAAATGCCCCAACAGTTGTACAGAGAACTTCTGCCAATCTGTTGAAGTGGAAGATATATAAAGCAAAAGATCATGATTTTCTCTGTGGCAAAGTGTTAAGTGCTTTGCTTCATACTCTGAAGGTTGCACGTTTGATTCTGGATTCTTCTACGTTCATAATCTATCCTTTGACTCAGAACTGCAAGTGTTTAGGAGATCTGTAGAGGCCATTGTAATCAGCCATTCTGCTGAGAGAGACGAAGCTTTATATATATTTCCACCTTTTGTCCCAACACATCTAATTTCAGCATGACTTTAAATAATCACTGCTTAAAATTGCTTGTTCGTGAAAAGAGGAGAGGGAATTAAGTGTATTATTTATGTTCAAATATGTGAATGGGAAAAAATCTATTATTTATAAATTTAATATAATTGAACAAAGACAAAATACCTGCTGGCTGAACCCTCTCGTACAGCTGAACTAGATCGGCTGCCATGACCAGACCTCCTGGATCGAGCTGAAGAAATCTCACTGGGATGTTCTCCGAGTCCCTGTGGAATATAGCAAACTTGTTAATTTATTTATTTACTTATAGGAAATGACAAAAGTTCACTGGTGGAAGAACAACCAGAACTTTCTGCTAGAGTATATAGCTGGTGAAGGAGAAGAAAACAAAAGGAATTCTGCATTGGTCTGAAGTTTCCTGACAACCACTGAAGCTTCCTGACAACCACTGAAGCTTCCTGACAACCACTGAAGCTTCCTGACAACCACTGAAGCTTCCTGACAACCACTGAAGCTTCCTGTCAACCACTAAAGCTTCCTGACAACCACTGAAGTTTCCTGACAACCACTGACATTTCCTGACAATCACTGAAGCTTCCTGACAACCACTGAAGTTTCCTGACAACCAAACACTTATATCCACAGTGAAAATATTACCTGCTTACATCCTGTCCATATGAAATTCCTGTAGATTTTGTGTCTTCTTTGATGGTGTAATGAAAATGGGAAACAGGATGCAAAAAAGTTAAAATATAACACAAAGCTCTAGCTCAATACATCCATGAACTTTTTTTGTAAGGGGCAGCAGATTAGAGCTGATCAATGCCCTATTCCAAATAAAAGTGGTGCTCGTAAAAAGAGATTATTCAATTTAGTCTAGTCAAAAACAGTATAATTTGGTGAGTAAAGGCCTAACCAAAATTTATGCGCTGAAGTTGGATATTTCAGTTTGAAGACAATGTTGCAAATTAACACACCACAACCAACATTCTTTTCAGGATGACTCAAAATGAGGAGGAGCAAATAGGAAGTAGTAAAAGAAAAAGGAGGAGAAGGAAGAAAGGAAGAGGATGCATAGCAGCAGCAGCAGCAGCAGCAGCAGCAGCAGCAGTAAGAGAAGGTGGAGAAGGAAAAGGGTGATGATCAGGAAACAGTCATTACAAAACATTTTTTAAGAATATACATTTAAATGTCTTGCAAAATGTAATATTTCTGAGTGTAATAATATTTATTTTGGTTAAGTAGTTTCATAAATGCACATCTAAACACACATACAAACAGTATTTATTTTCTAAGCTTAAGCCTAATGTTAAAAAAAAAAAAAAAAAAAATTACAACAATCAAACAACACATATCATCAACACAAACATATGTGATTCATCACCTTCTGTCTTAATTATCCACAATATCCTGGATATTTCTGAGACTGCTGGCAGGGACATACTTGGCTAGCATGCGATCAAAGTCTTGGTGTGCCATTAGCATATATAGGATTTTACGACCATAGTACCTGTGATAAGTAGAACAGTCAAATGATTAACACATCAGTTTATAATATACTAGAGATAACAAAATAATGCATATGTATACAGGCCACAAACAATTATCTGTCAGAGGTCAAATGCTAAAAGCTCCCCGTGTGGGTTCCAGTGCCCTGTTATCAGGAAAAAAAAAAACAATAGACCCACTGCCTACCCAAAAGCATGTCGTAAGAGTCGACTAATTGGGAGATTCCTTCAAAGTCAGAGTGCATTTACCTGAGAGGCATGGAACCAGCAGTCTGCATACAAATGAGTCAGATCTGTAAAACAAATGCACACGTAACACTCAGGTTCTGGAACAGGACTGCAGTATAGAAGTGGATGAGCAACCAGAACTTTCCGCCAAAGTTTACAGCTGGCGACCGCGAAGAAGAAGAATAATAACAAGAAGAAGAAATGCTAAAAGCTTAATTCTAGAGGAGGGAAAGTGGGGGTGGGAAATAAGATTTTGAAATTCCCTGAGTGTTATAAATAAACACAGACTAGTCCATTGTTTTGGAACACACACATATCGAACATTAAAGTAAAAGGAAATGTTAGAAATTAATAGAAAAGATAAATAATACACCAAACAGTTAGGTTAATGGTGAAAGAGTAGCAAACAAACATATGAAATCTTTAGGCAAATAAGTAAAAGTGAAATCCTTTCCCACCTATCTTCATGCTATGCAATGAAAACTGAATAAAATACATCCAAAGTCAATCATAAACTATGGTGAACCACTTACTAATAAGTAAATACAATTGAGAGGCAAATTATACAGTATTTTTTGTCCCACATAAACTTTCTAAATGACTACACAGCACAAACACTTGGCACAAAAAGTATCTTTCCAAACTACAGCAAAAACACTTAGCACCAAAAAGTTTTTACCTAAAACTATCTCCACAAACAAATAATCTGATATACAGTAACACCTTATTAACATGAACTCACTTAAAAAGCAAATTCGGTAAACAATCATACAATGCTGCTCCCAGCAGGGATCTATTAATATTATTATTTTTATTTTTGAACCCTTGAAATTTATGTCAAAAAGGTTTTACTGTAACAGTCAGATTGTCCATAATTGTGAAGACGTTATTCAGTGATAGTGGAAATTATAAAGAAAAAAACACACCAGATGTTGAGGTAAAGGAAAACATTTTTTAAAAAAAACATTTAAAAAAAAACATATGTTGAGGCAAAAGTTTCCCTTAAAAATTTCTTGGTCCTGTGAAAATTAACTATGTCATAATTTTATGCTTTGCAGGAGGTACACCAGAGGACCTCATCAGAGCTTGAGTCTACATATGGTTCGGTAAAAATTGGCTTCATTACCTTTCTTCACTCATGTACATTCAGTTCTGATAATCTACTGTTTTGTTGAAATCTGAGCTTTCTAAAGGTGCAAAATGCTTTGAGGGGTGAAAAGATGAATTCATTTTGTATTCAAACACAGATCCAGTAACTTTAAAAAAAAAAATGTTTTAAGCTTTAAAAAACTCTTCTGATCATAAGGAAGCACTATGTCTTTACTGAAACATGAAGAAATGGACAGATTTGTCAGTTAGTTGCGATTTTTTCCTTGTTAGGAATAACATTAGTGGCCACATACAATATGTGCCAATGACAGACTCGAGCATATTGACAGCACTCAATGTGCCTCTATTAAATGGGATAAATTCAAGCTGAGTAAATAAATGAATGTCTAGGAAACCACTAAAGTTAGTTGGGTATCCTTTACAGGACGTTGCAGAACCAACCCCAGCATTTATTGACTGTTGTGGTTTTTCTAGGCAAATTCTGTACGTTTATTAGTTTGCCATTGCTTTCTTATGAATGTCCTTTGCAGGCAGCTGTTTTGCCTTCTGAAAAATATGCACAACAGTACATTGTTATTCGAGGGTACACTGCGTAGGTACAGTCACCATTTTGTTTCTGTGTTGCAAATGCGCATGCAACACCTAGTGCCACCTAAAGAACAGAGACATAAAGTTCAATGTTGATGTCATCTAATGACACCTTTAGAAACCATTAACTACACTTTCCTGCCATCCCATAACCATGATAACTCCAGAGAGTGTCCAGTACACCTGTATGAAAGCCCTGGTACTGGATTAACTGTACAGTGTGAAGATATATCATGGTTAGGATTATATTTACTCCCAAAAAAAGAAATTTTTATTTTATTTTTATTAGCGAAAAACAAATACACACCAAACATTTTATTTTTTAATCATGCAATTTCATTATTACATCACACTGCTCTCTCCAAAGTCACTTCTCATTGGTCAAAGGGAAGAAAATCAGTCAATCCTTTGCTCCATTTGTATTTAGTAATTACTCCCCTTCACGTACATATAAATTCAACTGAAAAGAGAAGGCCAACCAGAGAGATGAATGAAGGCGGGTGATATTTGCAGCAATGAACTTCAAGGGCTGGGAATGCTGAAGAAGAAGAAGTAGTACATATAAATAAACCTATTCCTGATTTTGACATTTAGTGACTGGAGCAAATTTCCCTTGTCATCAAAGCAGCAGAGTATTTCAGGACTGCATGTAGGAGTTTAACCCTCTATATATTTATAAAAACCGACTAAGATTCAACATTTCTTATGCTTTTTCCTCTCTTCTCCTAGTCCCTTACGGCAGACTTTTAGAGAACTATGAGGATGCGATTTTTTTAAACACAATTTAAAAAAAAAAGGTCATTTATTTGAGATTCTGGTGGCTCAAAAACCAATGCAAGGCAGTCTGCTGCCAAACTGCCCAAAATTGAGCTTGAACATGGTACATAGGAATTATGAAGTGAGTTCATTATGCCTAAGCCACAGACGTAGAATATAATGTAAAGTAAGGGGCATTTTTCCATGCCTTGGAGTGTATTGGGCATATAGTGCTAGCCCTCTTATTTTAAAGACTGAACGGCACTCAGTGGGTGATACGGTCAACATCATGATGACCACCTTTACTTCCCATGATTTTGACCTGGTACCCATTTTAGTCTGGGTCAACTTGGGAGTCAAGGTGTTTTTTGAAAAATTCTGGCTTGTTGAGGATTTGAACCCACAGCCTTCGGGCCTGAGGCTAGCGCTAAGTCACCTAACCACAGCGGCCCCCATATATCATGTAGTATTCAATAAATTATTGCCTGGTTGCACAAGTCATACAAAAAAAAAACAAAAAACAAACACTTAAGTTCCCATATGTAATACACTAACAAACACCATTTACTAAAGCACATCTGAATAGAATATCATTTGTTAAAAAAAAAAAATTTGTATATCACAAATAGCAGCGAGCCGGACTTTTTTCAAAAATGACCTTGACTCCCAGGTTGACCCAACCTTGAGTGGGTACCGGGTGCAGTCCCTGGAAGTAAAGGCGGCCGGCGTGATGCTGACCACATCACCCATCTTGTGCCGATTGGTCTATAAAATATAGGTCTAGCCCTATAGGCCCTATATGCCTAAAGGCGTGGAAAAGGGTCCTATAGCAGCAACAATCAATCAATCAGGGTGTTTTATACAGAACATCACTCTCTTTACGACATGCTCGAAAGTCTCTCTTTCTCTAGCTTTCCTTTCTTCTTGGTTCCCGGTATTCTTATAATTGTTCTGTAGCATTTTAGTTTAAAAACTCCGAGTTTCTTCAAAGACTGAGTGACAGTCCATGACTTATATCCATAAGCTGCCATGGGAAAGATGCATGATTTCTAAATGTTTTAAGTTTGCTTGCAGGAGCTATCCCTCAGGTTTTTCATGCTTTTATAGATTCTGCATTGCTAAAGCACGTCTTCTTTTGACTTTTGTGGGTGCAGTTGCCATTGCTGTTTATTATGGAGCCTAAATATTCCAAATCTGTAACATTAGCAGAAACAGTGATGTAAATTGAACACACATAAACACAAAACACAAACACATCTGGTATACAACAGGAGCCACCAAAAGAAAAGTTTTCTGACCTTGTCTCCTGAGACCCATCCGTAGTAAACTGGCATGCTGCTGGCAACACTTTATCTGTAATGTCTTTGACACCACTCAGTATACGACCAGATCCCAGTTTCTCCACAAGATCCACCAGAAGTTGGGCAGCCATCTTGCGAACGTTAGGATTTTTATGACTAATAAACACAGAAGAATTAAAAATACTGTTTAGTAAGATATTTTACATCTTTGTATCATCTTCATATTATCAATGGCAGGTTTCCTTAAATTGTGACAATTTAGCAAGTCAGCAGATTATTTTTTCACTGTTAAAAGAAATAGAACAAAGCATAAAATAAACAGACAATAAGATGAATTCATAAGGCGTAAAGATATATAAGAAATGTTTGGGCAACCACTGTTAACAACAGTTATAAGACAAAGATGGCACTATACTGGACACATCCTGAGAACAAACGAGCACAGAATTACCAAGCAGGCACTAAAAAGGATTGAGGAAGCGAATATATCCAAAAGAAAACCTTAAAATGTATGTTGATGAGAGATGCCAAAAGTGCTGGGCTGAATTCCGTCCATAATATAGGAGGATTGCATAGGACATAACAGAATGGAGGAATAAACTGTGAGCTCTATGTGACACACATACAGTGGCACACTAGGACAATGATGATCATTATAATCAGACTGACCTGAAACCAATCTGGCAATGTTAAAGAGAAAGAAGACAAGACATGGTGAGATCTGAAAGAAAGTGGGGAGTAGTAGAAGTGCTTGATTACAACAAAACAAGAAAATGAAAAAAGTTTGACTATTTAGTTTGGCAGCCAGCAGATAATATACTAAACTGAGACTGATATACACAACAGATTAGAACTGAAAGACAAAGTAATGGCCAGGAGGACCCAACTCCCCCCCCCCCCCCCCCCCCCCCCCCCCCCCCCCCCCCCCCCCCCCCACTCCCACCCAATTACTTGAAGCCCATAAATGGTCTTCTCAAAATTCAGAACTTTCTGGATCAGAGTTAAAAAAAAAATATTTTATGTATCCTATATTCAAGCCCAGATTGACTATTGTTCCATGATTTGGGATGGTTGCTCCAAATGTAACTTAAAACGACTGTGTTCTCTAGAAAATTGCTCTTTACACCTAGTCTCAGATAGAAAACACACCGACAAATTCATGCTTACTAGTGATTATATGCCACCAGAGATATAGTTAATAATTCACATGTATTATCATCTTACTTATATGTATTATATGTGTGTATTATATGGATGTGTGTGTGTGATTGTTGGTGTGTGTGTATGTATGTGGATTTATGTATGTATTTTTAGATTTGTAAGTGTGTGTGTGTTTTTATGTATGTAAGGTGTGTGATTGTATATGAGTGTGATTGTGGGTGTGTGTGTGTATTATGTATGCAAGCATGTATGTATGCAGGCATATATATGTGAATGTATGTATTTGGGTGTATGTTAGTGTGATTATATATGTGTGTATGCATGCATATGTATGTAAGTTATGTGTGTATGTATGCATGTTGGTGGATGTATGTATGCATATGTATGTGTGTTTAGGTATGGGTGTATGTGTGTGTATGTGAGGTGTGGTATGCAAGTATGTATGTATGTTTGTAAGTATGTGAGTGTATGTATGGATGTCTGTATGTATGTATGTATGTATGTGTGTGTCCATGTATGTCTATGTATGTATGTATGTATGTATGTATGTTTATGTATGTATGTATGTATGTATGTATGTATGTCTATGTAAGTATGTGTATGTTTTATGTTTGTATGTATGTATGTATGTATGTATGTATGTATGTATGTATCTATGTATGTATGTATGTATGTATGTATGTATGTATGTATGTATGTATGTATGTATGTATGTATGTATGTATGTATGTATGTATGTATGTATGTATGTATGTATGTATGTATGTATGTATGTATGTATGTATGTATGTTTGTATGTATGTATGTTTGTATGATGTTTGTATGTATGTATGTATGTATGTATGTATGTATGTATGTATGTATGTATGTATGTATGTATGTATGTATGTATGTATGTATGTATGTATGTATGTATGTATGTATGTACTTATGTATGTATGCATGCATGCATGCATGTATGTATGTATGCATGCATGTATGTATGTATGCATGCATGCATGCATGCATGCATGTATGCATGTATGTATGTATGTATGTATGTATGTAAGTGTATGTATTCATGTGAGTGTAAATGTGTGGTTGTGGGCATATGTTGATGTCTGTACATGTGATTGTATATGTGTGCATGCATGGATGCATTTATAGGTGTGTATGTATGGAATGTGTGTGTACATGTATATCCATAAATGTATGTATGTTTTCTGTTTGTGCATTTATGTATGTAGATGCATGTGTTTATGAGAACGTAGGAGTATGTATACGTGTGTGAGTGTGTACGATTATGTACACATGATGTGTGTATGCATTATTCTATAATTTATATTTCTTTATTAGATCAGGATATGTGTGCACATTTGGCACGGAAAGCATAGTGTTTGTTAAAAAATAGTTCTGATAAGATTCACTTTAGTATTCCAGGGTATGTGTGTGTCAACAGGGAAGACAGTTGCCCCATTACTTGATTAGCTTTGGCACATCTTGAGCTAATTTCTCTGTCCAGTTTACCGTTGGATGTGAAAATTGCTGCCAAATACTTAAATGCCTCTGTTTGCATGGTCATGTTTGCATAGATGGTCACTCTGCTGTAATTAAAACTTTAGCCCAGTCATGCAAGGTACAGAAGGATCAAGAAAGAGAAGAGATTTAATCTTTACACTTGCAAACACATTTCATTATATATATTTCTCTTCAATTTAAACTTTAAAATACTTCTTCTCTGTGAAACAGATCAGCCTTTCAGTAACAGATTACAATTAGACATCAGAAGCAGGTTTTGTCACTCGGGACACTGCCATAAGCACTCTGTCCCCATCTTCAACAGCAGGCAAAGAGTTTCAATTCCGATGGTACCAATAACACTCTTGACTGTACATCGGTCTCGCCTTTCCCTTGAGTGTCAAGCACTGGCCAGATTCCCTGGTAACTTCTCACAGTGCCATTCTCCTCAGACCGTAATGATCTGTCTGTGTCCCCACACTGTTCACTCGCTCTCAAAAGGGGCCCCATAACATCTAGCTTGTCATACATCAATTCACCACCAAGTGGTGCAGAAACGGCCATTGCATCTGCCAGCTTATTTCTAAATACACTGGCATGAGGTGGGAAAAATATTCAAAGAATGCTCACTACCTGGGACCTCTGAAGTGATGCATGCCACTCTGCATGGAGCATGCCTGTCTTCACATTTCTTAACATGCTCTGTGAGTCATTACAATCACGACATGTATGTACAGCTGATTCTCAAGCCAGCAGTGACTTCCTCCACCTCCATTCTTAAACTAGATGTTGTGATATCATACGCCAGGCTTTGTTGCACTAAGCGACATCTATTCCCTTTTGCTATGAACCCCTCTAGATAATCACATCACCGGGGAGGGAATTATGAATCATTTTGCTACTGACCGCCTTATGTTAACTAGCTAGAGAAATCAACAAAAGACTCAATCATTGGTGCAAATAAAGTGAAGTAAAGGAAAGGTCCCTTTACACCCCCGTGATACACCAGGCACATGTGGTTAGACTCATAAGTATATAGACCAACTGGCACTTGAAGGCTGATGTGGCCAACATAATCATTAGCTGCATTTACTTCCCAGGGTTTCAGCTGGCAAATAGCTAAGACTGGGTCAACCAGGGAGCCAACATCATGTCTGAAACCATCCAGTAATCTGCAGGCAGCTCCCATGCATATACAGTCTGATCTCAATTTGCAAAAAAGGGAAGTTGTTTAGAGCTCTGAATCCTTCAGCATGTTGCTGATATGTTGGGGGAAAAAAAGCCTTTTCTTGTGTCCTAGGGCATTGCCAGGTCTGTGTGATAGTCCTATAACTTTAGAGACCAAGTGAAACTTGACGGATGATGTCATCAGTTATTTGTTGGCCATCTTTCTTTCAGCAGTCTTCATGGTGAACTGGTCAAGCCACTTATCACAGGCTCTGAAAGTCATTTCACAGCTGTGTCATTCAGTTCACGAGTACAATGTGGGGATCAGCAACAGAGCTATGGTGTCTGTGCTTTGTGTGACACACTCAGCAGTTCGCTGGAAAGAGCTACTGTGCTCAAATGGCATCCAGTTGTCAATGGTGTGAGGACAAAATAATCAAGAAAGCAATAAATACCATAAAATTAGGAAAATGCAAACTCACCCGTACACAAAAATTGCACAGAACAGTAATAAAAACTGAAATATTTGCAACACAGATATATAAATACAAATATAAGGGAAAAAAAAAAAACAAATCAATGGTACATAGAAGACAACTGCAAATTGAAACAGATTTCAAACACAAACTATTTTAAGTGTTTAGTATATTATTTCTTTTTAGGTTTGCTATGAATTCTGTCACAAAAGCTTACCTGGCCCCACCTCCAGTCAAACCTAACAGCGCCCTCTGAGGGCTGACATTGTCGAGCATACTGCACAATGCTTTATCTGCATCTTCTCTAATAAACTGATTGCTCTCCCCTCCTTTGGCCAGCAAGACTTTTGCTATCAAATCCACTTCCTGCAAGCAACAATCAGCATCAACACCAACATAAATCAATGTTTTCAATTGTAAAATTGAACACAGAACTAGTAGTCTATGTTCTATATCCTCTTCATGTCGCTGTTGACACATAAGGCATTCACAAGTGATCTCCATTGCTAATGGTCTGCTGCTTTTCTGCCCATGGTACCTCATGTCAGTTTGCATTCCTTCATTTCCCATTCTATTGTCCTTCTCCAGGTTTCCTTAGGTCGTCCAAGTCTCCTTTTCCTATCTGCTGTCCACCTGACAGCTGTTTTTGCCAGAGTGTCACAAGGCATTCTGCAAACATCTCCATTGGCTTACTTTGATAATATTTGCCACTGTTTTCCTTCTCAGTTCTTCCTTTGTGATCTTGTTTGGCCAAAATATTAGTAGAATTCTCCTGAAACATTTTTTTGAAAAGTCTCAAGTTTACATGCAATGCCCGCTGTCATTTTCCAACACTCACTGTTGTATAATAGTATTCCTAAAATGTTGCTCTTGTATATTGTGAGTTTTGTCTTCAAACTAAAGTCCCTTTGACTTCCATATATTGTTAAGCAAGGCAAATGTTGGATTTGCTTTGTTTATTCTTTATGTTACATCCTTTTCAGAATCTCCATCTGGAAAAAACTTTACTTCCGAAGAAGAAGTAGTAGTAAGTAAGTACATTTACCCCACCAGGACATCACATAGAGCGATAAACACCCGGTGACACAAACTGCCACTATGTGCGGATGAGGATCATCCGTGAAGAGATCCCAGAAACCCCTTTCAGCCGTTAGGCCATATTTATGGCTGGGCTATATTCAGGGCCCCAGGCAAAAGCCAGGGTGGGACACATGACAGTCTTCTTCACTTCCTTCTTTCCAATCAGTTCTGTCCTTCACCATGAGATTTTAAAAAAGCTTCTTATTCAAAAGATGTGTGCTTACAGATGCTTATTTTCATGACTATCTATCCATCGCCTGCATTAACAACCTCTAATTCTACTGCCACTGTAGATGAGAGGGCTCTCCGTGCTTCTTCTTCTCCAATCTTGTGCTGCTTTTCAGTGTCAGGTTTTGAAGAGGCATCGAGTGAGAGCTTTGGTATTTACTCCCTTGAATATTCCGTATATCCCTCGCTTGTGTGCACTTGGGACTTCTAGTAATTCCCCCTGGTCTCTGGGTAGTGAAATCGGACGCGCGTGTGCCCTGTTGCGCACGTAAGAAAATCCCTTGGAAGTTAGAAATCGAAAAGAGTAGACTAATGGTGCTGCCAGGGCAAAATTTGGAGTTTAAAATCTACTCAACGTATTTCAGGATCCTCGCCGGTGCTACAGAGCCTGAGCACTGTGCTGAGTTTCTTCAGACTCAGACAAGTTAGAAGAAGAAAAGAGCACTTATGGGTTACTACCCTTGTGCCATGATGTTGATCCATTGTTCAAACTTCAAACTTCAGTTATCTGTGGTTTAAAATTGTATCCAAAGATCTCAGGGAAATGTCTGGAGATTTGGGAGATGGTCTGAAATAGGGCAGACATTTTTTTTAACTAAACAGGCATTTGAATGAGAAACAAATGACCTGAGGAAGTGTAGACATAAACAAGAAACCCTTTGATAAATGTTAATGGGAGAGGTCACACTGGATTCTATCCACATTTGTGGTTTTAATGGGCAATTTTACATTCAATATTTTGGCATTGCTCATTGAATGATCGATGCTACATACAAGGTTTTTTTCTGGCAGTGCTCAACAGTACACAGTACCAGCAATTTTTTTTAGGCATAACTTCTTTCAAGCACTACTGTAAGAGATACTTTGTGGTAAATATGAACCCCTTATCTGAGACACTTTTGTGAGTACCATCTTTTCCTAGGAAAAATGCCCTGCTCCATATCACTGTCAAAATCAATGCAAAGAGGTCTGCTGCCGAATCCCCCTGCAGCTGAATCAAACCAGCTATTATGGAATTACAAACAGTGTTCATAACCCCAAAAGCCACAGGTGTTGTTATGTGATGTATAATTGGCACACAAACAGGATGATGATGAAGTTCTGAGTCTTGAGTGGAAACTGCAACAACTCAGTCACAATGTACCTATGTTTCTTTTACCTGTCTGATTCCAGTAAACAGACTTTAATCGAACATATGTGCAATAAAACTGAAATAAGCAAAGCTATAACAGAAGCCAATACTCACAGGATCAAGTTGTTTCTTTAGGTGCTGAAACATGTCGCTAATAGCTTTCATTGCTAACCTTGACACCTGTGACCTTAGGTTCTGCGCCTATATAATGGACAACAATAAAAGCTGTCTCATAAGCTCTCATAAGCTTGAAAATAATTAAAAAGGTAATCAGACATAAATAACAGATGTCTGATGGACTCAGTAATTATAAAGGTAACCAAACAACAATGAACTCTTCTTCTTTTAGTCCATGCTGCGAGGCATTGGTAGTCATGTCTATACTTTCTGACCCGTGTACCTTCAATCAATTCTGACATATGATCTTCATGCCATTTGGCATTGATAGTCATATCTATACCTTCTGTCTCGTGTACCTTCAATCACTTCTGACATATGATCTTCCATGCCATTTGGCGTTGATAGTCATATCTATACCTTCTGTATCGTGTACCTTCAATCAATTCTGACATATGATCTTCCATGCCATGTGGCGTTGATAGTCATATCTATACCTTCTGTCTTGTGTACCTTCAATCACTTCTGACATATGATCTTCCATGATATTTGGCGTTGATAGTCATATCTATATCTTCTGTCTTGTGTACCTTCAATCACTTCTGACAGATGATCTTCCATGATATTTGGCGTTGATAGTCATATCTATACCTTCTGTCTCGTGTACCTTCAATTACTTCTGACATATGATCTGCCATGATATTTGGCGTTGATAGTCATATCTATACCTTCTGTCTCGTGTACCTTCAATCACTTCTGACATATGATCTTACATGATATTTGGCGTTGATAGTCATATCTATACCTTCTGTCTCGTGTACCTTCAATCACTTCTGACATATGATCTTCCATGATATTTGGCGTTGATAGTCATATCTATACCTTCTGTCTCGTGTACCTTCAATCACTTCTGACATATGATCTTCCATGATATTTGGCGCTGATAGTCATATCTATACCTTCTGTCTCGTGTACTTTCAATCACTTCTGACATATGATCTTCCATGCCATTTGGCGTTGATAGTCATATCTATACCTTCTGTCTCGTGTACCTTCAATCACTTCTGACATATGATCTTCCATGATATTTGGAGTTGATAGTCATAACTATACCTTCTGTCTCGTGTATCTTCAATCACTTGTGACAGGCCATGAAGTCTGTCCAGTCTTTTCTTTCCCAGTCTGACACTGCCTCTTTTCCTTTCCCCTTCAACTTCCCCACTGTCACAAAGTACTCCAGTTTTCTCCTTCTCATGATATGACCAACAAATGTTGAGGCTAGAAACCAACAGCCTGCATGCAAATAAGCTAGATCTGTAAAAGAGAAGTGCATGCAACATTGCAGTTCTAGAAAAAAGAAAAACTCCAAAAGTAGACGAACAACCAGGACTTTTTTTACACCAGAGTCTGCAGCCGGTGAATATGAAGAAGTTCACCTCTGACCTTTCTGTTCTGCTGTCACATGAATGTGATGTGCACTAACATTGTATTCCAGTCTACAAACATCACAAACAGATATAGTTTTAGTCTGTCTGTCTCCCTGTCTGTCTCACTGTCTGTCTCCATGTCTGTCTCACTGACTGTCTCCCTGTCTGTCTCACTGACTGTCTCCCTGTCCATCCCCCTGTCTGTCTCCATGACTGTCTCACTGTCTGTCTCCCTGTCCATCCCCCCGTCTGTCTCACTGACTGTCATCCTGTCCATCCCCCTGTCTGTCTCCATGTCCATCCCCCTGTCTGTCTCCATGACTGTCTCCCTGTCCATCCCCCTGTCTGTCTCCATGACTGTCTCCCTGTCCATCCCCCCGTCTGTCTCACTGACTGTCTCCCTGTCCATCCCCCTGTCTGTCTCCATGTCTCTCTCTCGTGTGTGTATGCATGTGACTGTGTGTGTACACTACATGTGTAGTGCTTTATATAAACTCTTTATATCGACTTACTTCGTTTGTGATGGCTAGAACTATTGGATGTAAAGATGCTACAACAGTGTCTGGATGATGCAGGCTCAGCCTCCTCAACATGTTGATGCCTTCACACTTTGTCTCCCTTGAAAAAGATAAACAGACCAATCAGCATCACCTGTGTTAGCTATTACAGCAATTGGCAGTGTGGGACAATCTGGCATCACCTGTGTTAGCTATTACAGCAATTGGCAGTGTCAGACCATCTGGCATCACCTGTGTTAGCTATTACAGCAATTGGCAGTGTCAGACCATCTGGCATCACCTGTGTTAGCTATTACAGCAATTGGCAGTGTCAGACCATCTGGTATCAGCTGTGTTAGCTATTACAGCAATTGGCAGTGTCAGACTATCTGGTATCAGCTGTGTTAGCTATTACAGCAATTGGCAGTGTCAGACCATCTGGTATCACCTGTGTTAGCTATTACAGCAATTGGCAGTGTCAGACTATCTGGTATCACCTGTGTTAGCTATTACAGCAATTGGCAGTGTCGGACCATCTGGTATCACCTGTGTTAGCTATTACAGCAATTGGCAGTGTGGGACCATCTGGTATCACCTGTGTTAGCTATTACAGCAATTAGCAGTATCAGACCATCTGGTATCACCTGTGTTAGCTATTACAGCAATTGGCAGTGTCAGACTATCTGGTATCACCTGTGTTAGCTATTACAGCAATTGGCAGTGTCGGACCATCTGGCATCAGCTGTGTTAGCTATTATTGCAATTGGCAGTGTCAGACCATCTGGCATCACCTGTGTTAGCTATTACAGCAATTGGCAGTGTCGGACCATCTGGCATCAGCTATGTTAGCTATTATTGCAATTGGCAGTGTCAGACCATCTGGTATCACCTGTGTTAGCTATTACAGCAATTGGCAGTGTGGGACCATCTGTCATCACCTGTGTTAGCTATTACAGCAATTGGCAGTGTCGGACCATCTGGTATCACCTGTGTTAGCTATTACAGCAATTGGCAGTGTGGGACCATCTGGTATCACCTGTGTTAGCTATTTCAGCAATTGGCAGTGTGGGACCATCTGGTATCACCTGTGTTAGCTATTACAGCAATTGGCAGTGTCAGACAATCTGTCATCACCTGTGTTAGCTATTACAGCAATTGGCAGTGTCAGACTATCTGGTATCACCTGTGTTAGCTATAACAGCAATTGGCAGTGTCAGACGATCTGGTATCACCTGTGTTAGCTATTACAGCAATTGGCAGTGTCAGACCATCTGGTATCACCTGTGTTAGCTATTTCAGCAATTGGCAGTGTCAGACCATCTGTCATCACCTGTGTTAGCTATTACAGCAATTGGCAGTGTCAGATCATCTGGTATCACCTGTGTTAGCTATTACAGCAATTGGCAGTATCAGACCATCTGGTATCACCTGTGTTAGCTATTACAGCGATTGGCAGTGTCAGACTATCTGGTATCACCTGTGTTAGCTATTACAGCAATTGGCAGTATCAGACTATCTGGTATCACCTGTGTTAGCTATTACAGCAATTGGCAGTGTCAGACCATCTGGTATCACCTGTGTTAGCTATTACAGCAATTGGCAGTGTCAGACAATCTGTCATCACCTGTGTTAGCTATTACAGCAATTGGCAGTGTCAGACTATCTGGTATCACCTGTGTTAGCTATTACAGTAATTGGCAGTATCAGACTATCTGGTATCACCTGTGTTAGCTATTACAGCAATTGGCAGTATCAGACTATCTGGTATCACCTGTGTTAGCTATTACAGCAATTGGCAGTGTCAGACCATCTGGTATCACCTGTGTTAGCTATTACAGCAATTGGCAGTGTCAGACCATCTGGCATAACCTGTGTTAGCTATCACAGCAATTGGCAGTGTCAGACCATCTGGTATCACCTGTGTTAGCTATTACAGCAATTGGCAGTGTCAGACACAAACCAATTAGATAAATATAATAATAATAATATATAATATTTAAAACAAATTGTGCCGACTCCATAATGAAAAGTAGGGCATCCACTACTGTCTTTGGAAATCTAATATTGTGAGGCCCCAGTCTCTTCCACAGTGCAATTCTCCAAACACTATCTGAAACCTATGGGAATTGTCTTTATTCTCAATCTGAAAAAGCCTTAAATGGGTACCAGGTAAAGTTCTGGGAAATAAAGGCAGCCCACATGATGTTGACCACATCACCCACTGAGTGCTAACTGGTTTATAAAATATAGGTCTAGCCCTATATGCCCAATGAAAGTGAAGATGCAGAAAAGGGTCCTTTACTTTTACTTTTAAAATGCAAGCTACATCAAAGGAATTACTTTTTCAAATGGTATCAAAACAGGATTGCAAGTCCATCTTACGCTTGGCCTGTAGAACCTCTCATCTTTTACACAGGAATTGCATTTTTATAAGTTCTTTCTGTTCTAAACACAACATGAATGCTGAGTACCTATGCAGCAAATATAATACAAGAAAAACCCACAAAAACATGCACACACACAGACACACACACCCATCTACCCAATCCCAGTTTACACATACACACAAACACACTCACACACACACACAAACAATGAGCACCCACACTTACCAATCATCGTGCTCCAACTTCTTCAGAAGATCCCTCAATGCCACATCACTATCCTTGAAAGGCTTCCAGTCGTCTGGATTCTCCATGTCTGACTCCGCGGACATAGGGAATGATAATACTGGCTCATTGTTCCTTTAACAAAACATAAAGCATCAGTAAGCAAGCAGACATGAACAGTTTTTGCCTATAAATGCATCTCAAACCAATCAGTCTGAAATGCACACCTCAGTATATCACTCAGTGTGTGACCCTCAGTATATCACCCAGTGTGTGACCCTCAGTATATCACCCAGTGTGTGATCCTCAGTATATCACCCAGTGTGTGACCCTCAGTATATCACCCAGTGTGTGACCCTCAGTATATCACCCAGTGTGTGACCCTCAGTATATCACCCAGTGTGTGACCCTCAGTATATCACCCAGTGTGTGACCCTCAGTATTTCACCCAGTGTGTGACCCTCAGTATATCACCCAGTGTGTGACCCTCAGTATATCACCCAGTGTGTGACCCTCAGTATATCACCCAGTGTGTGACCCTCAGTATATCACCCAGTGTGTGACCCTCAGTATATCACCCAGTGTGTGACCCTCAGTATATCACCCAGTGTGTGACCCTCAGTATATCACCCAGTGTGTGACCCTCAGTATTTCACCCAGTGTGTGACCCTCAGTATATCACCCAGTGAGTGATCCTCAGTATATCACCCAGTGTGTGATCCTCAGTATATCACCCAGTGTGTGACCCTCAGTATATCACCCAGTGTGTGACCTTCATTATATCACCCAGTTTGTGACCCTTAGTATATCACCCAGTGTGTGACCCTCAGTATATCACCCAGTGTGTGACCCTCAGTATATCACCCAGTGTGTGACCCTCAGTATATCACCCAGTGTGTGACACTCAGTATATCACCCAGTGTGTGACCCTCAGTATATCTCCCAGTGTGTGACCCTCAGTATATCACCCAGTGTGTGACCCTCAGTATATCACCCAGTGTGTGACCCTCAGTATATCACCCAGTGTGTGACCCTCAGTATATCACCCAGTGTGTGACCCTCAGTATATCACCCAGTGTGTGACCCTCAGTATATCACCCAGTGTGTGACCCTCAGTATATCACCCAGTGTGTGACCCTCAGTATATCACCAAGTGTGTGACCCTCAGTATATTACCCAGTGAGTGACCCTCAGTATATCACCCAGTGTGTGACCCTCAGTATATCACCCAGTGTGTGACAACCTACAACACATCTTCTGAGTTAGTCCATTTTTCACTGGCCTCCTGGAAGTGTTGCTTCACTTGTTGACCTTTTTTTTTAAAAAATCTGGTCAAGGTTGAAAATTCAAGCCATAGTTTGATTCTTCAAGCTGTCTTGACGCTTTGAGAGCAATCAGTGTATTGCTTAAGTACTCAGTTTATTTTAACAAAGAAGACATAAACAACTTCTTCTTCTTCAGCATTCCCAGCCCTTGAGGTTCATTGCTGCAGATATCACTTGTCCCTATTCATCTCTCTGGTTGGCCTTCTCTTTCCAGTTGGTGGCACCAAGTATTGCAGGTCTGTCTGGACATTATCTCTCCATCGTCTTCTTGGTCTGCGTCATGGTCTACAACCATTCATCTCCCTTGTGTATATAGTTTTTACTTCTCTGTCATCTGACATTCTTTCAATATGCCCCAACCATCTCAGTCAATTAGCTCTCATGATGCCAGTGATTGAACAGATTATGAATTTCGTTATTGCTTCTCACTCTCCATTCCCCGCTGTTTGCATCTTTGATGGGTAGTCATAAACAACAGATTGCACAATTTGCACTTAATTTATTATTAAGTGGATCTTGATGGTCACACTCACTATGCCTTCTGGCTGGGATTCCTATGTCTCCCTATGGCACATTATAACAATATTGTCTGAAGAGGCAGAAAGATGGCAACAATTACGCACATGTTTCCCATCAGCACATGATTCAAAACAAGAAAGTGAATATAAACATCTAACTAGTACACAACATAATTACTTTACATATCGTCATCCCCATGTAGGATGCAATTTTTAGTTATTGTGATGCCTCACTCTGGCCTTTGCCTGGGGCCTTAAATATTGCTGGGCCCTAAATATGGCCTAATGGCTGAACGAGGTTTCCGGGACCTCTCAACAGGTGATCATCATTTGCATGGTGGCACTTTTTGTCACCGGGTGTTTATCACTTGTATGATGTCCTGGTGGGGTACAACCTACCTAACTAGTACACAACAGCTCTGTCTATTTTAACTTTCTAAGCAGCTTAAAACTTTGCCCGTAACAGAAGCCTCTTTAAAGCCACCTTGATTAATAAGAAAATGTAACACATGTTTTATCTAGGCACTTATTTGTTTTAAACAATTGTGTTTTCATATAGAATTGTTTAATGTATGAAAATGGAAAATTTCAGTCTAACTTGCACACAACCATTTTGTCTATCTTAACTTTCCAGGCAGCTAAACAATTAACTGAAAGCACAAACTCGTTTCTAGTATTTGTCCCTTTGCTCACACAAAATCAATTTATTCTCTAGCCAATCCAATATTTCAAAACAGATCCTAAACCATGATGTCATTAAGAATTTTGGATTCATCTTCTATTATCTAATTTCTCAGTGCAATCACTGGAATATGGGAATTATAAATTATTCATGAGCATGATTTCACATGGCACAAGATATTTTGTATTGTATAGGTTATAATTTTGCTGATTTCTCATTTGCCTAATGGCTAACAATATGTCAGGTATGCTCTTGTGAATTCAAACATTAAGACAGCATAGCAATTTATCAAAGTTGGAGTTCAATTTTACTGGCTGGTTTAACCTCAGGACCATACACAAATCTGATCAGGTGACTCAACCTAACTGACTTCTGCTAAATCTATCAATGAAAGGAGAAAGAAGAAGTGCAGAGGGTCTGAGGTGCATTTTTCATTTTGAAAAATTAAATTTGGAATTGAAACAGGACCAATTTTACAAAAGCACAAGAGCCAACAACAAAAGAAGTTATGGTGACATGGCTTCACTGTGATAATCATGTGCCATGCCGTAAGTACAGATGGGGACTGTTCAACTGGTAGCCCATGATCCGATTCCTGCTCGCAGAGGCACAGCAAGTGGCCCATGGATCATTGCCAACTGTATTGTATAAATGATCTTTCTATGTAGCTTCTGGCCAGTGACCATCCCTATTTTCAACATTCTGGCCCCGGGTAAAATTAGTTGAATATCCTGGTGAAGATGGTCATGTTTCACCGCCACACATGATCATCAGAATTAGGGATCAGATTAATTCTCTTTTCCCACCCAAACCATGCAGCATATGTATCTGGATATTTAAACTTTTGTCTTCTCTTGCTCTTTTCCTATAAAAATGCCAGCTGTCATCAAGTTTTCAAGTTTACTCCTTATTACAACCAAAATGTTTGAGTCCACATTAATTTCACCTCAAGTCCACATTAATTTCACCTTATTAGTTTCATGTTTTTCCTTGTCTAGAGGAGATCAACCTTATTTATTCTCCTTACTAGTGGATAATGACGAATTTCTGACACGAACATGAGTGCATGACATGGCAGTAAAGCATGGTAAAGCATGACTATGCCGCCTTCGAGGATGAGATAGGAGACATTATAACCGACTAACCATGGGAACAGTTAGCAGAAGTACCTTCTGCTGCTGTATTAGAAGACTGAGCATGCATGGGAATGCCCAATGTGCAGTGATGTAGATTGTGATAACATAACTAACAGATACATATTTACACTATATGTGATTCTGCTATACATAGATGTTTACTTGTGCTAAAGTTGGCTGGGAGTGTCCCTGTGTGATCTATATGAGACTGATGACTTATGGGAATCATCACCCTCATGTAGGTTTTTTTTGCAGAACGTTGCTCTCATTCCGGCACATCAGAAAGCCATTCAGTCCCTTGTCAACTTTCTGATTCATGGTTTTTCATGTTTAGAGTGTCCTTAATATTTTGTGTCCACCATCATGATGGCCATTCCTTGTCTTTTCTTCCAGGAATCACCCCCCCCCCCCCCCCCCCACACCTGCTGTCTTCTCCAACCAATTATGACATTTCTTCTTCTTCTTCTCATTCACATTGGCTGTAAACTCTGGTGGAAAGTTCTGGTTGTTCATCCACTTTTGGACCTTAGTCTTGTTCCAGAACTTGAGTTTTGCATGTGCGTCCATTTTACAAACTGACTAATTTGTACGCAGAGTGTTAGTCCATGCCTCTCATGCAGATGCACTATGACAGGAATCCCTACTTGATTAACTGTTAGGACATGCTTGTTAGAAAGGCAACTGGTCTATACACCCCACACCACGATGGGTCCCCAGAACCCACCTATGGAATTATGACATTCAAATTGGCTGAAGTATTTCAGTTTAAGAGAAACAATAATGTTAATGGGACAGTCCCACTCGATATTGAGATCATTTAGAAACTCAGTATATGGGAATATTTGTGAGAAACAATAATGTTAATGGGACAGTCCCACTCGATATTGAGATCATTTAGAAACTCAGTATATGGGAATATTTGTGTACAATGAAAGTAATCCTTTTCAAATGAACAAATACAACTTCCACTACAAATGTAACTAAAACAGTTAGGGTGGTAAGAGTCCTTCAGATATTTTCTCCAGGACATTCAGGTGTGTGGAAACTGAATAGGCAAACAGGTGCCTGATAAGTTAGATGTAGTCCAGGCCCTTTGTGAGTGAGAGAACAGTATGGAAGCACAAACAGGTCATGGTGTGAAGAGAATGGTGCAGGGGCAAGTGACTAACTAGGGAGGGAACATACTAACATTCTACACTTAGAGGAAAGGCAAGATACAGGTACAATCAGAATGGTGCAGGTATCAGTAGGATTATAACTTTGTACACTGGCAGTCGAAGATGCTTTGCAGTGCACAGGGGAATGTCCTGAGAGCTGTGATGTAGTTTATTAACTCAACTTTAACTGAAATTTTGATTTACCAACTTACAGCCACAAAGGCTGAGAGCTGACTGACTACTGATGCTCCGAACAGTTATTAGCTTCCAACCAGTTTTTGCTGATGCAAATTCCCCATTTCTGGACTGGAAATTCAAATGTTCCATCACCCAGGTTCTGAGCTGAATGCCTGGTGCGACACTGTGAGATATGGATTTCATAGGGATGTTTTTTTGTTGTTGTGCCCACGGCATGTTGCTGACTGCTCTAAACTGGTGGGTAGCCATTTAAGTTCAGAACTGCCTGTACTTTTGCAGGTGCAAGCCGACTTTCATGAACGACCGTCTGCCCCAAAAAATGAGTTACAATTCTGGTGTGAGACTGTAAGTGTTGGCACATCTGAGAGTTACCTTGTGCAGTTTTACTTCTCGTGTGCAAGCTTCAAGATTTTGCTGGGACTGACAAGTTTTTCATTAGTTTTCAAATGGGACAGTGAAGGACATTTTGTGTGATTTCCACTGGCAGAGGTACAGAGCAGTTATGGGATGACCCAGTTTGCAGTAAAGTCAGAACCCTGACTAATGACTAACTAACAACCAACTGGACTACCAAGCCTATTTGAACACCTAACTCTCCAGTTTTGTTATGACACACTTCAGATTTCACTTCCCATGCTATGCTCAAAGAATTTAGATTCTCCACTGCTGATGCAAATAATCCTTTCTCTTTGCAAGCTAATTTATTTTCAAGCGGTCCTCATTATGTTTTTATTTGTCCATGGTGTTTTTGTTTAAAAGCATGTGTGCAGCTTCCATATTACCTTTAGCACTATTATAAGTGGGGGAAAAAACACATCCCCATCATCGTCCTAAGTCTATTCCTCCATTCCATTCTATCCTGAGCAATCCCTTCAATAATATGGATGGAATCGTTCTAGCGCACCTTTGGCGTCTCTTATCAACTTTCATTGTAGGGTTTCTTTTCGACATCCTCACTTTTTCAATCCCTTTATTTCCCATTTTAGTGTCAACTGCATTTAACTTTTGTTCAATGTCATTAATGGTTCCCCAACTTTCACTAGCATATGTTAAAATTGAAATAACATAAGAAACAAAACAAACATACTTACAGTTTTAACGTTTTTCTAGGTGTGATTGCTGGCGGGGTCAGTTTTGGTGAGTTTGGGGAAGGTTTCACCACCAGAGTGGTTAAACCAGTTGTGGGTGTTGTGCTGATGATGTTAGTGTTGGCTGACCCTGATGCAGAACCAGACACAGAAGAACTGAAAAACAAACCAATATCCAAACTGTACCTATTGTTCTTTCTCTCCTGATGATGACATAATTTAGGGGATATGTTTGGAAATCAGACTAAGAAATTAATAAAGGCACCCTTTTTATTAGGCACATAGTGCTAGACCTGTACTTCTTAGATCAAATGACACTCAATGTGTGATGATGACAACATCACGCCCGCAGCGTAAAATCCCAGGACACTGCCTGGCACCCATTTTAGGCTAGGTCGCAAAGTCAATTTATAAAATACATCCATATCGCAAATGTATTGCACATTTGTATCCTTGACCTTTGAGATGGCAAGCCAGCAACTAACTGCTACGCTAAGAAAAGCAACAACAAATCATTCAAAAAAAAAAAAATTATACGACATACTTCTTTTTCTTCTTCTTAAAGTCCATGCCATATGGCTTTGGTAGTAATGTCTGTCCACAACCTTCTGTCTCGTGTACTTTGAATCAACTCTGACACAGATGATCCTTCATACCATGATGTCAAACAGTCCAGCATCAGTTTTCTCCATCTCTCCTCTCATCAGCTTTCCCACTGACACGATATACTCCTTTCCTCCTTCTCACCACATGACCAAAGAATGTAGACTGTCTCTTTCTGATATGGGCAATCAGTTCTCTTCGTGAGTCAGTTTCTTTCAAGACATCTTCATTACTCTTTTTATCTGTCAATTCTCATCATCCATCTATAAAACCATATCTCTGCAGCTTCAAAATAATTTGACACTAATCTACCAACTGTCCATGATTCACTTCCATATATCAAGATAGGATTTATATAGCTTTTAAGAATTCTCTTCCTTATCAATAATATGATATTATTAGTAAAATAATTGTCTCCTTCTTCATCTTTCCTTGTGTGGGTTCCGGGGTTCCACTTTGTAACTCTTTCCATACCAGGTTTCACAGGAGACAAGAAGAAATAATCATAACGAAAAGTCATTTATGCATTGCTTTCAAATGGCAAATATACACAATGGTAATTACCAGTGGAGAAGCCAGACTTCTTTAGTATCTTCTGACTAAATGTTATAAGAGAACACAATATGCTATGGATGGAAATGAATAGTCGCCCACACAATAGGCGTTGCTTAGGATCGAAAGAGTTAAAAGGCTGCTAAAGACTGAGTCCAAACTTATGTGTCGGGAAATCAAGTGGAAACCACCAAGTTCATTTCAAAGTAGTCAAAAAGGGTTAACACAGGACAAAACTAGCAACAGAAAATTATACTCACAGTCCAGAGCATTGATGCTCTCTGCACTCGACAAACGTTTCAGTTTCTCTTGCTGTCTCTCCCTTTCTTTCTTGAGTTTCTCTTCTCTGTCTCGTTCCCGCTTCTCCTCCTTCTCTCTTTCTTTTCTCTCTTTTTCGGCCCTCCGTCTTTCGTCTTCCTCAAGTCTCTGTTGCTGTTTTACTGCTACTTTTTCCTTCAAGGACTGGGTCATGCTAATATTGTCCTGCAGAGTGTTGAGTGGAATGTTGAGGTACTAACATTAATGCCAATAGAGTAAAGAACAGATATGAAATATTATGAGGAACAGAGATGTGGGATTTGATGAGATACTGACAACGTGACATCAGATGAGAATAAACGGAGGATGGAATATAGGATGTGGTACTGACAACGTGACATCAGATGAGAATAAACGGAGGATGGCATATTGGATGTGGTACTGACAATGTGATATCAGATGAGAATAAACAGAGGATGGGATATTGGATGTGGTACTGACAATGTGATATCAGATGAGAATAAACGGAAGATGGAAAATTGGATGTGGTACTGACAATGTGATATCAAATGAGAATAAACAGAGGATGGAATATTGGATGTGGTACTGACAATGTGATATCAGATGAGAATAAACGGAGGATGGAATATTGGATGTGGTACTGACAATGTGATATCAGATGAGAATAAACAGAGGATGGAATACTGGATGTGGTACTGACAATGTGATATCAGATGAGAATAAACGGAGGATGGAATACTGGATGTGGTACTGACAATGTGATATCAGATGAGAATAAACAGAGGATGGAATATTGGATGTGGTACTGACAATGTGATATCAGATGAGAATAAACGGAGGATGGAATATTGGATGTGGTACTGACAATGTGATATCAGATGAGAATAAACAGAGGATGGAATATTGGATGTGGTACTGACAATGTGATATCAGATGAGAATAAACGGAGGATGGAATATTGGATGTGGTACTGACAATGTGATATCAGATGAGAATAAACGGAGGATGGAATATTGGATGTGGTACTGACAATGTGATATCAGATAAGAATAAACAGAGGATGGAATATTGGATGTGGTACTGACAATGTGATATCAGATGAGAATAAACGGAGGATGGAATATTGGATGTGGTACTGACAATGTGACATCAGATGAGAATAAACGGAGGATGGAATATTGGATGTGGTACTGACAATGTGACATCAGATGAGAATAAATGGAGGATGGAATATTGGATGTGGTACTGACAATGTGACATCAGATGAGAATAAACGGAGGATGGAATATTGGATGTGGTACTGACAGTGTGATATCAGATGAGAATAAACGGAGGATGGAATATAGGATGTGGTACTGACAATGTGATATCAGATGAGAATAAACGGAGGATGGAATATTGGATGTGGTACTGACAATGTGATATCAGATGAGAATAAACGGAGGATGGAATATAGGATGTGGTACTGACAATGTGATATCAGATTATAATAAACGGAGGATGGAATATTGGATGTGGTACTGACAATGTGATATCAGATGAGAATAAACAGAGGATGGAATATAGGATGTGGTACTGACAATGTGATATCAGATGAGAATAAACGGAGGATGGAATATTCGATGTGGTACTGACAATGTGATATCAGATGAGAATAAACGGAGGATGGAATATTGGATGTGGTACTGACAATGTGATGTCATATGAGAATAAACGGAGGATGGAATATTGGATGTGGTACTGACAATGTGATATCAGATGAGAATAAACGGAGGATGGAATATTGGATGTGGTACTGACAATGTGATATCAGATGAGAATAAACCGAGGATGGAATATTGGATGTGGTACTGACAATGTGATATCCGATGAGAATAAACAGAGGATGGAATATTGGATGTGGTACTGACAATGTGATATCAGATGAGAATAAACGGAGGATGGAATATTGGATGTGGTACTGACAATGTGATATCAGATGAGAATAAACAGAGGATGGAATATTGGATGTGGTACTGACAATGTGATATCAGATGAGAATAAACGGAGGATGGAATATTGGACGTGGTACTGACAGAGAATGGAATACTGGATGTGGTATTAACAATGGGCTTAAAGAATCAAGAACAGATAAGAAATATGAGGAATAGAGAATGGAAGTGGATTTTGTGCTGACAATGTGATTTCAGATAAAACAGATAATGGAATCAATGTGTGTCATTTGTATACACACACAGATACTTAGAGAAAGACAGCCAACATGATAATGGGATGAGTGGGAGTGGAGCATGAATTTATGAATATTATTGTCTCAATCATCTCATGATTATTAATAACTAACAAATGTATTAAGTAAGGGAGCAGGAGCCCAGAATATTAGCTAAGATTTGGTTGCAGTACTTATAGTCCCCAAAAACTGCACACAGCATTTGCGCGCCAGTCAGCTAGGCAAAACTGATTTGCACCTACTGAACGGATAGGTATGGGAAGGAAATTATGGTTGAGACTCAGATGTGATTAGTAAGACTTGCTCGCTTTGTTGTGTACGGAGGAAAGTTATCATCTCTAAGTTGTGGAGATTGATAGTTAGTTCAGACTTCTGTGTCGGATGTTTGATGATGTGTTCAGTGAGTTCTTCTTGCATCGTTAAGTATAAATGTCCCAAGTTAACAGCTTCAAGTTGTGGAGATTGATAGTTAGTTCAGACTTCTGTGTCAGATGTTTGATGATGTGTTCAGTGAGTTCTTCTTGCATCGTTATGTATAAATGTCCCAAGTTAACAGCTCCAAGTTGTGGAGATTGATAGTTAGTTCAGACTTCTGTGTTGGATGTTTGATGATGTGTTCAGTGAGTTCTTCTTGCATCGTTACGTATAAATGTCCCAAGTTAACAGCTCCAAGTTGTGGAGATTGATAGGGGCTATCGGACTTCATGCCACTTATCCTTCACAGATATACCACTCGTGTACTGATGTTCTCATGATGGGATTGTTTACTCAGTGTGAGCAGTGACTTGTTATAATAATGTTTGGTGAGCCATTACTCCAGTGTTTATGTTGTGATGTGACTGAGAATGTGATTGGCATTTCCTTTATTATCATTTCGTTGTTGTATCCCTTGAGAAATAAAGTATGTTACTGATGTTCCAATAGTCTTTCCTAGTATGTGAATCAAGTGGGCCTCAAGATATCATCAAACTAGACCCTTGGCCATTAGTTGGACAATCACCTAAATCACAACAAAAAACTGGAAAAGGTACTGACAATGTGATATCAGTTAGGAAACAGATAATAGAATACTGGATGGGATATTAACAATGTAATGCTGACAATGTGACATCAGATTAGAAACGGATAATGGAATACTGGACTAGATACTGACAATGTGATTTAAGATAAGAAACAGACAATGGAATAATGGATGTGTTTACTGACAATGTTATATAGGATGAGCAGAAACAGATAATGGAATACTGGACTAGATACTGACAATGTGATACCAGATAAGAAACAGACAATGTAATAATGGATGTGTTGCTGACAATGTTATATGATGAGAAGAAACAGAGTAGAGAATATTGAAAGTGATGTTGACAATGTGATATCAGATAAGAAACACACAATGGAATAAAGGGTGTGGTACTGACAAAATCATATTAAATATTTTTTTTTAAAATAACGACAGAATGTGATCAGTAAAAACCAATTCTGTTTTTGGTTCTTTTGGTCCGGCTTTCTGTGCTATATAGTAGGGATATGTATACATAACATCTGATAGTCCATAACATGTAGCATTGGTAGTCATTTCTATCCACAATCTTCTGTCTCATATACTTTAACTCAATTCTGACACAGATGATCTTTCATGTCATAATGTCAAAATGTCTTCTCTCATCTGTCTCCCTCTTTTCTTTTATCATCCAACTTTCCCACCATCACGATGTATGTCAGTTTTTGCATTCTTATGACATGACAAAGAATGTAGATTGTCTCTTGATATGAGCAATCAGTTCTCTTTGTGAATCAGTTTCTTATAGACTTATATTACTCATTTCTAATATGCTGTTTACATCTCAAAGATGTAATTGCCCCCCCCCTTCCCCCCCCCCATCCCCCCCCCAAACCGTCAAGATCATCAAGTGCCTTGCCAAATGACATAAGAGATCATGCACCTCAGCATCTAGCAAACTTCAAATGCATGCATCAGTTCATGTCTGCGAACTTCAACTGCATGCATCAGTTCATGTCTGCGAACCACATCTGCATGTATCAGTTCATGTCTGCGAACTTCAACTGTATGTATCAGTTCATGTCTGCGAACTTCAACTGCATGCATCAGTTCATGTCTGCGAACTTCAACTGCATGCATCAGTTCATGTCTGCGAATTTCAACTGTTTGCATCAGTTCATGTCCAAACACATTTCTATGGCATAACAAATGGCTGTCAACAATCTTCTCTCATGTCTTTCTATACCTCTTCTTTCATAAATCATTTCAGCTGTCACATGTTCTAGGTAATATATTTTTTACATCTGTCTCATGCTGTTGAACTGTTAAAAATATTTATATTTTGTCTGTGCACCCACTCCACAATAAATTAATGTTTCAAAGTCTCTGCTCAAAGCCCTGGTACTGCAACCTGTACAACCCCTGAATAAATGAATCAATAACTGACTGACATTTCCGCAGATGCTTCGTCCCCTCCTTTCAGTAGTCAACAATGCTCTGATAGTAATGTGACAGTTGCAACCTGAAAAAAAAACGTTCCCTGTCTTTTTCCAAATGTGTGCTGACAAATCACCAAACGCTTAATTTTTACAATCCCCACTAAATTAGCATCTCCAGGCATTCATACTCTGTGATTTCTACAGCCCCTAAACTTAGTTAAACACAGCATGGGGGAAAAAAGGGGGAGGGGGACAAACTGATGACACAGTAAGCAGACTACAACTTACATCTTCCCACTCCTCATCTGTCACAGAGGTTTCTGAGCCCAGATTGGACAGGTCTACTGTACTTCTCATTGCCACACCCACCACACCTGCTGGTGCTGCTTTAAAGTCATTCTTTCTGAGCTTTAGCCGAGTGTCTGGAGACTGATCAACAACTGCCATAGGATCAGCACTAGAAGAGGTGTCAAACATCCCTGTAGGACATATCCACAACTTCAGATTAACACACTACCACTCAAAGTACAACAAGTACTGCAAATAAGAAGAAGACAACAGCCGCCCAGTTTAATCTTTTTTAGTTATATATATATCCTAGACATAAGTTATATTTGCTGACTATATCCTAGCCATAAACTCCTACTTTTCTAGCCACTGGTTACTGAACGCTTCCTGTCCCAGACGTTACTTTTATTAGCTGATTCTATTCTAGTTACAAGCTAATGTCTGTTTTCTAAATCATGCCGTTGTATTTTTGGTAATTTCTCAGTAATTACTTATTCTGGGGACATGATATTTTTGCATGGGCTCCTATTTTCATCTCACCGTTCATGTTTTAAATACACATAATATAGAGACTGCCCAGTTTTATCAAAACAGCCACTTTCTTTGTTATTTTCATCACCTGAATAATTTTGGTTAGGTAACAAAACAAAATTTACAGTACCAACATGAACAGAAGTACCAAGTCTGATAGAAGTTAGGGATGTTTCTGCGACTGTTTATCATAGAATTGTAAGTCCCTGCAGTTCTTAAAATGTTCCATAATGTACTTTTGTATCTTGAAATACTATCGTTCTAAGTTTTAATTTCTTGGGTGTCAATAATTATTGATCGTCCAACATTATGCATACTGTTCGTTTAATAATTTCTTCGTCAAATCGATTTTCTTTTTCCTTCTTTGCTCAACAATGATATGTGTAAAAAAAAACTGACTCTTCTCTAGCCTATCTTAGGAATGTCCGGTCGATAATAGCTGGGGTATGTTTTGTTCTTTCTCTGAGTTTGAAATAGAATGGTACAGACAACCACGTTTAGCCTCAATGAGAAATATTTATATAACTGCACTGTATATTTGTGAGTGTAATGAATTTAACTTTCAGCGCCATTTTGATAACAAAAGAGCTAACCAGACAAGTGACACCTGTGCAACTTTTGATGAAACTTGGCAGCACAAAGATTTTATAGTGCATGTCAACACTTTCAGTGCAACACTTGTGGTCTTATTGAGAATGTACATAAAACACGAGACACACATTTTTTTAAAATGGTTACATTTGAAGCTTTGTACCGTATAACTCTTAAATGGCAGTCCAGCAGGCATCATCATATGTTTATATTCTTCCCCCCCCCCCCCCCCCAAAAAAAAAAAAAAAACAGGCATTCTAAATATTTGTTATGATGGAAAAATCTTACATAATGCTTAGCATATATATATAGGCCTAACACACAAGCTGTCCACCTTCCACCATACATGTCTACGTAGAATTATCAAAATTTTCTGGCCAGATACAATCTCAAACACTAAACTACTTCAAAGTAACAAAACAAGAAACTTTAGACAGTATGATAACCAAGAGAAGATGGAAATGGCTTGGCCACGTTATGAGAATGAATCCTGATATACCCGCTAAAACAGCTCTCACACGGACACCAGAGGGAAAGAGAAATCAGGGGCGCCCAAAATCAACATGGAGATGAATAATGGAAAGTGACCCGAGTGCGGCATCTTTGACATGGAAAACTGCACTGAAGATTGCACAGGGCAGGAAAGCTTGGAAAGTCCTCTCTGAAGCCTCATGTGTCACTAGGCATAACGAGAACTGATGATGATGATGATATATATAACAAACTTCATCCATTTATGTTCCACTACAGCTGAGATATAATAGTCTGAACATCTACATGAATCTTTAATGCACTAAACTTATATTAGCTAACTCTGTATTAGTTACAAACATTTTATATCCTCTATTGCAAAGGAAAGTTAAAATTTCATATTTTATTTAATAACTCACATAGTTTTGTGTCTGATTTCAACCAAATTTTCTGACAATCAGCAGATTCCATCTTAATAAACTAGTTATATTAGTTTACTCTAGTTATAAAATAATTAAATTAGCAGACTCCATCATAATTACAAAATATTTATATTAGCAAACTCTATTTCAGTTACAAACTAATTATGTTAGCCAACGATCCTGGTTACAAACTATTTATATATGCCAATGATCCTAGTTATAAATTAGCTACATTTGCCATCTACCCTAGCTACAAAACAGTTATATTAGCAGACTATTCTTTTTGTAGCAGGTTTTTTGCAGAACATCGCTCTCATCGTGATCTGCCTGAAAGAAACTCATCTCTCCCCAGCACTCCCACCTTGTGCTCTTTCCTACCCAAGGTTCTTTACGTCAGTATCTGTGTGAAATTGCTTCCCCTTTGAAAGCTTTTTTTAAAGAGGTCCCAAGAAAATAAAAATCACATCGCGATAAATAACCACTATAGGCTAGGTGCTGCATAATTTCCCACTTCTTCTATGCTAATGAGACCTGATGACGAGCATTATCCTGCTACAAAGTCACACAGCGAGAAAACATGTCAGCACGTATATTCTTGATGGCTATATACAAATATACCAAATATTGTAGAAATTAAAGTGTGACACCAATGAATTTGTTTAATGCTTGCTGTAGTTCTAGCAAAGTTAACATAAGTTAATTTACTATGTATGTTGCTGCAGTTCTAGTAATGTCTATGGAGGTAAAGTATGTTAGGTATGTTGGGGAAGTTAATAGCTTGAGACACTCAAATAGCTTTATGTGAACATGTCTTTATGGGACAATGCTCAGTTCTCTTTTGATACAGCAGATGACAGTCCTATATATGTTCAGCCAACTGTTCTTGTTCTGCAGGGGAAAGGGGCGGGGTGAATGATCACATGTTTTGTCCAATCAGGATTGTGTAGACATTACAAACTGACAAACAGCATGGTACCAAAGTTATTTGTGAACACACTAGCTGGTACCTCAAATTGCAGCACTTGTTCTCAGAATGTGCTTGCACCTGCCCCATGTGACAACTGACAATTCATACAGGGTATAAATTTTGAAACAAAAAATTTGTAATTTTGATACAAAAACTGCACAAAAGAAAAAGTGAGCTGTTAGTCAGCTGAAGCAGTGCTCAACACACACTCATAATCAGTGATCTTGTGGAAAGTTCAAAAGGCTGCATATAAACGGCACAAACGTGTTGTATGTGTGACTACATGAAAAAGTCATACAATTACAATAAATACTCTTCTTCTATGTACAGAGAACTCAATGAATCCACATCAAGTCCACTGTAAACTTATTCATGACTGGTCAGATTCTGTAAAGGTTATCTATAAGATAGCCCCGACTCACACCAAACCTACTCAGTTGTCTCTTAAGACATGCATGGATAATTACTGTACTACTATTCTTTAACTATGTCCCATTTACACATAAGCAGTCTCAACAAATGATTTCATCTTATTCTATAATCTCTCTTTCTAGGGTAACAACCCACATGAAATCTCTTTGAAGAGATGGTTATAGGGCTTCTAGTAAAAAACAAACAGAAAAGGACCCTTTTACACCAGTAGCGCATTAGGCATATGACATAAAGTATATACCCACTGATGAATTCTGTTTCAACTACACAGCAGAGATTGTAGCACTACAACAGGCAGCTGAAATGTTACAAAACACCAGTTCTGACTGCCACCAAGTTATCTTCACAGATGCGTTTTCTTTGCTCCAAGCCCTCAAAAGTGGTGAACACCCTCACCTAAGATCTGAACTTGGCAAGGTGGCTGCCCAAAAGTGTACTGCACTCCAGTGGGTGTCATCCCACTGTGGTATACCAGGAAATGAAAGCACAGATAAACTTCCTAAGAAAGAGGCAGAATGTGAACAGGACGAGAATGCAGTAACATACTATGAAAAGAAAAGGGCCATCCAGTCTATGAGAAGTGAACAGAGTCTGGCCAGAGATGACTACCACTTACTTGACCAACATGGGCAGGTCATTATTCTACACATCAGGCTTCGTCTAAGTTGTTAACCATTGTGCCTGTGTGAGCTGTCTGCGCAGACTATAGAACATGTCCTGCAAGAATGTCCCTTGAACAGCCCATTAAGAAGGGAATATTCAAAGTTGTATGGAACTAAAAAGGAACTCCTAAAACAGTCAAGTTTATCACAAGAACTTGTCTGTCGGTGTAAATCAGAAAGTGAGCACAAGAAGAAGAAGGCACGTGATGTTGGCCCCATTTCTGTCTTTCACGATAGTAGTGTTACAAGAAGGTATGGGACTCACAGCCCTTGGCAATGGCAAGTGTGACTAGCAAGATGTGAGCGCATTATGAAAAGTCTTCCACAATTAGAGCATGGGATTTCAGGACCATTTTTGCCATAATCTGTATTCAGTCTCATCCTTTCTGCAATCATTTCTTCCTTCAGCCTCATCATTTCTGCAATCATTTCTTCCTTATATTCTCATTCCCTTCCTGATGTGCTCCCATTCACTTAACATGGTCCATAGTATTTTGTTCCCAGGAGTCCACCTGAATACCTGTATCATTCATGTTCTGCTTGTAAACATCTTTATATGTTAAGAGAGGTTGGCCTTGACATATGATGCCAGACTCATATTTTTAAAGACTAATCAAGTCAATGGGTGATGTAGTCAGTATCATGACGCTAGCTTTACTTCTCAGTATAAAGACTAACTGGATGTTATTAGGTGATGTGGTTACCACCACACCAGCCACCTTAACTTCCCAGGAAGTTACCTGGTACCCATTTTAGGCTGGGTTGACCGAGGATCCAAAGTCATTTCAGAAAAAAAAAAAATCGAACTCAAAGCAGATTCGAACCCAAGACCTCGGGGCCAGCATGCTAGTGTCTATGCACTAAGCTACCACAGCTTCCTTACGGGGCTTCTAGTATTTCATAAATGATTAAATACATGTTATGCTATAAAGAATTGGTTATTGGATAGTAATTTGTGAATGATATTCAAACTACACATAAGATGAACAGCTAGTAAGGTTTTTATACTTCTATACCTCATAAATGACATATAATCTACACCTAATTTTATACGAACAGGTGGTCAGTCACTGGGCTTCAATTATTTAAACAAATGACATACCCTTGCCGACAAGACTGATCCTGGACTTAAGCAGGGCAGATGTCTTATCATCAGGATCAGAGTCAATGCAACCTGGCAGATGCATTGCAGCCAATCCCAGGGGAGCATGAGTGACCAGAGGTCCTGCAAAGTGTGGTGTGCATAAAACAGTAGAAATTGTTTGGCTCTTAAAGTGCACCAGAATATCGAATAGATCAAATAAAGTAAGGGTAGCTCCCCTGAGCAGTTACTGTTGTTGGAGTGTTCAGTGTTAGGCCTTCGCATATCCTAGGTCTTGAAATATAAGGCAGGGTGGCCAGTTCTCTTTCCATGAGAATTCCCAGAACATTGACTTTTTATTAAAGTTAGTCTGGAGCAGTGGCTCCCAATTGGTGGTCCGCTGAATAAATCTAAGGGGTCCGTGATATCATTTACAAGACCAACAAAATATAAAACAACCACAGTCCTTTTTTTTTTTTTTTGCAGTTTGTCTAATATAAAACAGATTTATCTGTAAATTAATTTTTCTTTTTTAAACGACGATTACAAAATATGGGGTTTGTTGCACTGCTTAAAATATTAGAATGGCAGACAGGCTGTATTTAACTGGAAACTATGGTTTAGAGGATCAACTACATTGCCACTAGCTTGCTCATATGTCTCCATCTCTCCAATAAATGACTTGTCGCCTGCCAAGAGCATCGCACAAAGGCCAGTGTTGAAGTGCCTTCTTTCCATAACACATAGCCTGGGCAGAGACTGTGTTGCATACGCCACTTGATCCTTCCCTTGGACTGCTTTGTTAACTCAAAAGGAAAAGTAACACACTTGAAAGGTGTTGTAGTCAATCCCACGAAGAACAGCTTCTGGTGGCTTTTTAAGCTAGGTCTGACATGGAATAATAACACAATGTATTCTTTTAAATCTTTAGGGATTTAAACATAAGACTAACGTTCAAGAAAGAGCTCTGACATTTAGACACAGAGACATACACTTGTACTAAAACAAGGGAGTACAAATAAAATGTTATGACTGTGTTTACTAAAGATAGATGAAATAATGAAACAACAGCAGAATCAATCCCTACTGTCTCTTAAAAAGATAAATACTGTTTTTTGTGTGGCTCTGTAGTTCAGAGTTTAGTGAGATGGCTTTAACCAGGCAATCCCTAATGTTTACCAGTGTTTGATTCCCAGGTGAAGTAGCTAAGAAATTGACAATTTGTGGGGCTTTCAGACAATGATATGAGAGTGGCACTGTGGAACAGATTAGGGCAATACCATGTAAAATCTCCATAGTTAGATGGCGGTGATGGCATAATTTTTATTTTTTATTACTGTTTTTGTAAATATACTGAAGGGTAGACGTTAGCACAAGTGGGTAACTGAAATCATATAATGCTACTGTAAGTAAACTATGAAAACTGTTAGGATAAATTATATAGTAAATACAGGGTGCATTAAAACAATGTAAACAAATATAGTAAATACAGGGTGCATTACAACAATGTAAACAATGTGCACATAAAGAAAGCACACATGATCACTGCACACAATTCTTTGAAAACAAAACTGTATTATTCCAAAATCCATGTGTTTGCAAATACAGTCAGCATGACATGGATTTTTGTGTGTAAATTTGTGTGTGTGTGCTCCAACTGATGTTTGCAATGGTATTTCTTTATTCCTGGAGTCAGCCATAATTTCTGTTTTTTTTTCTTTTTTTACAATTTAATTCTAACCCTATTTACTCAATGTGTACAATAATATAATCTGCTCATGCTGCACAGGCTATGGAGATAAGGAACTTCATCCCCAGCCTTAAATTATCACGCAAGTGAGTCTTTTTAGTTGTCTTTACATCGACCAGGCTGCCATGAGATACGAAGATAAGTGATATTGTGTAGCATTATCTTATCTATGTATGTGCTGAAGAAGGCTCCATTGCAGCAATGTTCATGTTCTGTTTGTGTTTGTTATATCGTGAAGCTCGCTGATATACTTTTCGTTCGGTTTTATATCTTTTCCTGATATACATATTGTTTGGTTTTATATCTTTTCCTGATATACTTTTCGTTCGGTTTTATATTTAGTCCCTCACTATCACCATGAGCTGTGATTCCAATAGCTCCCAAAAGCACACTACGAAATTATCGTCTTATCAGGAAAGAGATAAAACAAGCACTAAATGTTCCAGATGTATAGACTAAATTGACTGAAAGAGAGAAAGAGCTTGAACAGCACAGGTCTTGATGGTCCCTCACTATCATCTTAGGCTGTGCTTCCCAAACTACTGCCTTATCAGAAAAGTGACAAAACAAGCAGTAAATGTTCCAGATGTGTGTATACAATGAACCTTTTCTTAAAGACCATCATATGTGGCATTGGTCAACATGTTTGTGCACAGCCTCCTCTCATGTAATGTAAATAATTTCTTATATAGAAGTTCTTCTATGACATGTCAGGAAGCTATCCAGCATTTTTTCACAGTTTTAGTTTTCTTATCTAGTATGATACTGAAGAGGGTCAAAGAATTTCAGCTGTTCTATTTCCATAAGCCAGAAAGACTATAATATTAATTCAAGAAAACTGCTTTTTAAAGTGCAAACAAAATCTGACATAAGTATAATTAAAAACAATATGTTATCAAAGTTATTTAAAGTTAATTCAATCACGTCAAAACAGATAACAAGCGGCAAAATATGTCTGTTCATACAAAACTAAAAGTAGTGATCTTGCTACAGATCCAAGTCAACAGCCTCAATTAACATATACAACCAACAAACAAGCAACCATTTTAACACAGGATTAATGAAAGCCACCCTTCAATCCACGTACCTTTGCTGTTCAACCTCTTTCTCTCTTTCAGTCGGCTAACTGCAAAAGATGGAGACACTTTGACTGGCATGTCAGATGTGTCCTCAGCATAGCCCTTGCCCACAACTTGGACATCCGAGTTGTAGTTTTCACGGAAGGTAACTCCGCTGGTTGGGTTGTAGTCAATGTGAGTTACAGCCCCCTTTCTGACACCATCAACTGTTTCCGTGGCAGCAGTGGCACGTCTGCCTTGTAGATTATTATAACTTTCATAAGAAATTTTCTGATCTGGCTTCTTTACAAAGCTGCAGGAGAAAGAAACAATAAAATCTCAAAGCAATGATCCCCTGTTGTAAATTTTAACAAAGAATACACAAATGACACTGGTAACAATAAGGTGTTCACTTAAACAGGAAACACATGGATTGAGGGAAGGAAATCTATGAGAATACTAAAACAATGAAGAGAGGCCAAAAGAGCTGGGTTGGATTGCCTCGGTGATACTAAAAGACTTTACAGCATCAAACAGAATGGAGAACTCGACTGTCAGCCATATGTAATGTAAAATGGAAAAACAGGATGACGCAGATATCTTCACATTTCATACATTTTGTGTGTGAAGATTAAATATTTTGCTATATCTTATTTATGTCTATAGTATGCGCTTAATGAAACACAGCAAGTGATTGAACATGGACTACTGCTTGATAGGCAAGCACACTTTCACTCTGCTAAGTTGGTCATCTTTATTTTTATTTACAAAACATAAATGGCAGTACTGCGATCGCTACTCTTCACTTTATTAGCTACAATATACTGAAAGGAAGAACTAATGAACTTGAAATTAAGAAACGCAGAAAAAAATATCACAGAAAGATAAAATGACAAAGATTGAATTATAAACAAACTAAACATGAAAACAGAATCAGTAACCGGTCCCCTTTTTACACCAATTTCAGAATCAGACATATGATACTAGACTTATATCTGTAAGGAACAATATTAACATTCTGTGGGTGATGTGGTCACATGTAAGGTCACTGACAACACAAGAAGAGACATGGTTACAAATACCAGCATTAGAGAGAAAGTTGGAAAAAGACCAAGTCTGGATTATACTGACAGACAAAGAATGAAATAGTTCAGCCATTTAGTGAGAATACAGCCAGGCCAAACTGCATGTGCAACTTTTTTTTTACAGCAGATCATCTGGGAGAAAGGCTAGAGGAAGAACAAGAAAGATATGGATACAATAAATGGTGTAGCCGAAACCTGCAAAAAGATAAACAATTCCATCACCCAAGCCACCTGAGAAATTCAAGACAAATACAGAAAACCATGACACTGGGCTACAACTGGTATCAGTGAGCTGACAAAAGAAGAAGAAGAAAATGTGGTCAAACTGATGCTGGCTCACCTTAATTCTTGGGATATTACCTGGTACCCATTTTATGCTGGGTCAACTTGGCAACCAAGGTCAGTTTTGAAAAAGAATCAGCCTCAATGCAGATTTGAACCCAAGACCTTCAGACTAGTTGTCAAAATTCTAGCTATTACACTACAGTAGCTTTCAAATTGGATCATAAAACAAATAAAATATTTTGGGCTGTTAAAAACTGGGGCCCCAGAACCTATACGAGGAAAGGCTTGACCTAAGACTGGTGAGTCAGCACTTAGGCTTACTGACATGATACCTGTTAACCGACAATGCAAAAGCGTGTTTCGGAAAACTGAAACTGGCGTCCTGTGACCAGAGTGGCTTGCATCTGTTGATAAAGATCCAGATAAGGAGCCTATCATGGATTTTATGTCCGATTTTCTAATGAGCATGCTGATAGATTAGATGCTCCCCATCCTCTGGGCAGTGAGCTACTTTATGATAAAGCAGATGTGGTGAAGGCTCTATTAGATCAGATGGACAGTGTAATAGAACAGTCAGAATCCATACACTGAAGGACTAATTTAATGGGCAGTGTCTGGAGGTTCTTTGAGAAAACAGAGGTGAGTTTGTAATCAGGTTGTAAATGGTACTATTAGCATGTCGACTTTTCCTTGGCTACTGAAGAAGGGGACAAAGCACTTGTGGGAATGTCCAGAGTGCAGTGATTCATTCATTCATTCATGGCAAGGATGATAACTATGACCACAGATCAGTTCTAATTCAAAAGAAAACTGACCTCTTTTTGTTCTGATCAGTGTGGGACGATGCAGTAAATATTCCGCTCTCATCCAGTGGTTCGTTACTTGCTGGAGTCACAGTGATGCTCTGCTGAACACTCTGTTTCTCCAATTTCTCAAACAACTTATCTGCTCGTTTCTTCGTGGCACTGTTACGGATGGATTTCAATGACCCATTCATCTAACAGAGAAGAAAATAAATTAGGCAGAATGAAAAAAAATGAATTCAAGTGCCATCTTCACAATGAAAGTTGGCGGCAGTGGATCTCTAATCATCATTATCATGTCATGAAGCAGGTCCTTTGCAGAACGTCGCTCTTATCACGGTCTGCCCGAAAAAACACTTGGTCTCTCGTCAGCTCTCCCACCTCATGTGCTTTCCTATTCAAGGAGTCACTTATATCTTGCGCCCATCTTCATGTTGGTTGGCCCCTGCCCCTCCTTCATGGTACCATGCCTTTTGCTATTTTTTTTTTCCAATATGCCAAGGCTCTTGATATGACCAAAATATTTCAGCCTCAGAGACAAGATGCTGTTTATTAAACCAATCTTCCTGTATGTTCAGATCTTTTAAAATGTCGGTATTTCTTCTCTTCTTTGCCAATGTTAATCTGGATCTCTAATTCCTTCTGTAATAAACTGTGTTCATTTGTTTATTGTATCTCTCACCCTCATTGTACACTTTCACAGTTGCTCACCCAAATTGTAAAGTTATCCTCTGACTTGCATCACTATCTATTTTCTCCTGCTCACTTGCCTTGAAATTCTTCTCCAGTGTTATCTGGGGGTGTTATATCTGTTAATGTTAGCAACATATTCAACCTCTATCTCCATTAATGCCCTCACCAACTTGTTTTCATTCCTAGTTTCTCAGAACCTGTTTTCCCCCTCTCTCTGTAAAATACAACCTATTCTGTACATCCAAATACAGGGCCTGAAAACCGATTATAAATGTAATGATTTAAAGCAAAAAATTAATTCTGAAAAGAGCTACATCCAAAAACAAAACAAAAAGTGAACTAATACTCACAGAAGACTTCCCTTCTTCAGAGGGTGTGTATGCACTATCACTGCTGTCAAAACTTTCTGCGGACAGAGGAATGGGAGGTACTTTCCTCCGGGTAACCGATCCTCTGGCCAATGTTGGCCTCCCTGGCAAGGGTGGCTCATTCTCATCTGAAATGCAAACATCTTTAAGACTGATAAATGGTCCGATGTAAAACTGCAATGGCAGCGTACAACCAACGTGGAGTGTAGGATTAAACAATACAATCAGATGCAGATAGTGTCAGAATATAAATGCAATCAAGAGCAGTACAACACAGTGAGAGCAAAGAGTAAACACAGCACAATTAAAACAAAGAGTGCAACAACACAATGACAGAAAAAAAGCAACATCACGATGACAGCAAAGAGTGCAACAACACTGGTGTCCAACACTGCCCCATTCAAAAGCTAAACAGTGTACCATTTAAAAGCTAAACACAATCACACTAAAAAATTAATCCCTTCTCCTCTTAGAAGTTAAACATTGTCACTTAAAATGCTGAAAAATGTCCTAGTTAACAGTAGAACGCTGTCCCAATTAACAGCTGAAAAACTGTCCCACTTAAATTATGAAAACTGTCTCAATGAAATAGTTAAACAAAATCACACTTTAAAATGCACCACTATCACCCTTAACAAACAAATATAACCTCAATTAAAAGCTATACTTAACAGTGAAACCTTCATCATCATGTAGCAGGTCCCTTGCAGAACATCGCTCCCATCACAGTCTGCCTGAAAGAAACTCGGTCTCTCGCCAGTTCTCCCGCCTCATGTACTTTCATATTCAAGGAGTCACTTATATCCTGCACCCATCTCATCATGTTGGTTGGGCCCCCACCCCTCCTGCCTGATTCCATGCCCTCTACTATTATTTTTTCCAATCCGCCATGGCGCTTGATATGAGAAAAGTATTTTAGGGATGAGATGTTGTTAATCAGCCAATCTTCATTGATGTTCAGAGCTTTTAAAATGTCAGTATTTCTTCTCTTCTTTGTCTCTGTTGTTCTGATAATTTTTCTGTAGCATTTCAGCTCAAAAACCCCTATTTTCTTTTTTAAGGACTGGGAGATAGTCTACAACTCACATTCGTACGCTGTTAGAGGCAAGATGCATGCTGTCAAAATTGTAACTTTGATTTCCTTGCTGGTGCTTAACCATATACTTTTAATGCTGTTTAATCTGTGTACTGCTATGCTCACCCTCCTTTTGACTTCTGTTGAACAGTCTCCACTGCTATTTATAATGGAGCCTAGATATTCAAAGTTTGTGACGTTTTAAGTTTCTTCAATATTTTTTGTTATTTCTGGGTGACAGCGACATTAATTTTGTTTTCTTTGAATTCAAGAATAGGTTTCGATCTTCACAGTGTTGTTTTTGTTTTTGGACAGCGATAATTAAATGTTCTATTTCCTTTACATTGTTTGAAAGGAGGACTGTGTCATCTGCATAGCAAAGTTTCCGAACAGGATAAAAGCCTACCTGGTTTGAAAGCAACACTGGGGCTATAGCTGCTAACACTGTCATCAGCTCCACCTGTGACAAGACAAATAAGGACATTATTACTTACATAAGTATATAATAAATGGGAGACAGACTGAGAACATCTGAAAACAATATAACTAGAAGGGCTTTAAACTAGAGCACAGAAATAAATAGGAGACACACACACAAAAACACACATAAAGAAGGGAACCAGAGAGTGCAGTTAAAAAGACAAGGAAGACATTGGGTGAGATGGCTGAGATACTAAAAGATAGGACGACTTGGCGTTAGTTGGTTGAGGGCCTATACTCAAATGAGTGATAAAGAGCAGAGAAAGAAGAAAAACTACATATTAGAATTCTAATTTCGGCACTCTTCCGAATACCGGTCCCAAATTATTTACTGCCAAAAACTTCCCTTTGAGAGCCTCAATAAGTTATGTAGTAAAAGCATTTAGGCCATCATCATCAGTTTCCACTTCTGCCGTTAGTGCTCGACAGACAACGATGTTAAGACCTTAGGCTAAGCGCCGGGGAGAGGGGGAGGGCTTGTTTTAGATCCATTGACGCGGCGTTTGGAGGAAAATGTTTTGATTAAATGTTCAAGTGAAGTGGGGAGGATTAGTTTTTGATCCATTAAAGCGGCGTGGGGAGGAATAGAATAGTTTTTGATCCATTGTTTACATTACTCATGACTCCTCTTGTGGGTTTCAGGGCCACATGTTTGAGGGGAAAAAAGAATAGATCCACTGCCACCTAAAAAGTATGTTGTAAAAGGCGCCTAAATAAGTCCGCTGAAATCGATTGTGTTAGTGTAAAAGGAGCAGATATCACAGCCTATCTGTAAACCACAACAAAACATCCCAAGTGTCCTTTTAAGGGCTAAAAATAAAATTATCACCCTGCGGGGAATCGAACACCGATCACCCAGGCACAACTATACTACCGAAGACTCGAGGGTTGGGTTCCCATGAAATTATATAATAACGCGAAGCATAGTTTGTAGCGTTCCTGTTCCATATTTTAAACTATATGACCTCTTGAGGCCCTAAATGGGATTTTTTAAACAGTAAATAATTTGGGACCGGTATTCGGAAGAGTGCCCTAATATCTTCTGCGGGTGCCTGCTCCAGAGCAGACAGTTCCAGTCATTAAATACTCTCTGTCATTCAATATTTTCATGAAGTCTTTAAGTTAACAGTAAAAGTAAAGAACTCTGTTCATACAATGATTGCCATGGTTCTCGCATTAAAAGGGTGATGCAGCTAAAGAACATCCAACCAATGTTCTTTAGAAAATCAAAGCAATGTTTCCTAGTGGTGAATTTGAATAAAGAAGACAGAAATAACAGATTGCACAATTTAATGGCTAACATATTTCGCTGTATCTCGTCAAGGTTATCCTACAGTAACAATTACAATAGCAATCTATTGTTTGTGTCTTCTTTGTTCAATGTTCTTCAGTCGGTGGTCCACAGGCCCCTCGTGGGCCGCCAACATGTATACGTGATTGTATGGCAGCTACATCTAAGTAAAAAAAAAAAAACAGGTCCATTTTGTACACCATTAGGCGTATAGTGCATACAGGGCTCGGCCTATATTTTTACAGACCAATAGGCACTTGGTGGGTGATATGGTTGATATGGTCAGCACCACACTGGCCGCCCTTACTTCCCAGGACTGCACCTGGTACCCACTTGGCTGGGTCGACATGGGAGCCACAATTATTTTTTAAAAAAGTCCGGCTCCGTCAGGACCCAAACCCATGACCTTCTGATCGGCAGGCAAGCGTCTACCCGCCACACCATGGCGACTCACAGCTGCATCATTCATACCAATACAGAGCTACCAGTGCCAAACATGGACATTATTTAAAGCCCATGAATGCAAAATAGCAACCTGCGAGATGAGATGCCTAAGAAAAGCTGACAACCTTACCATACGAGAACAAGTGAATAATGATACTATCAGACAGATTGTGGGAACAACACTTCGTACTAGATTCCCAGTGACACTGCAGATCTAGTGAGTTGACCACCTCATTAGAATGCAGCGACATAAAATACCAACACGAGCACTGCATCTCAGAATATCAGTACAACATCAAGAGTACGGCCATGAAAACCATGGATCAACAACATTAAAGACAATTTACGCCTCAATTGCATGACAATAGCCAGTGCCAGCCAGCGTGCTCTGGATAGCAAATGATCTTCCCCCCCCCCTCTTTTTTTTCCCGACGACACGTATTTACAGAAAGGGTTTGTGATGATGATAAAGTGAGACTGTGCACCGGACACATATATCAGATCTTCCTACCTCTACGCCAGCAGTTCTCAAACTGTATGCTGCGGCACCCAGGGGTGCTAGGGGTGCCGCGGCAATAATCAAGAAATTTTGAAAATCTGCTTGAGATCAGCGAAGACAGCAGTTTAAAACAGAAATACCATAAAGAAAGCCAACAAGAGTTCTGGCTGCAGTTGTACGTATTCAGAAAACATTAGTACTGGCAAGGCTGCAGGGCATTCTCAACGTACCCTTACATACAAAAACAGATACAGGATAACCTTCAAGTGATCTGAGGGAACCATTAACTATACTAATATTAAACAAAGACAATAATGAAAAATACATCCAAACAGTTTCATTCATTGCATTAAAGACAAATGAACATTGAATTTGCACTGCTTTTTGTCTTTTTCTAAGCATTCAAACCGCTTTAAGGACAGGTTTGCCGCGACAAAATGTCTGCCTGACAAGGGTGCCGCGGTGAACAAAGTTTGAGAAACGCTGCTCTACAAAGCAGCAAATATCGTTGTAGCTGAAAATTGCAATTTTGTGACACTGGATTTAAAAATAAAAAAAATTAAACTGCCATCTACACTTGCTTTTGTTAGCTATCATGTGATCCGCGAAATAATACTCCCTGTTTTGCCGGTCCGAGGAAAAGGGTGGGGGGGGGGGGGGGTGGTTGTCTCCATGGGCAAGTGGTCAAGCCGTTTGCCTCGCGCTCTGAAGGTCGTGGGTTCATTTCACGGCGGCGTCGTTCAGTTCATGAGCAATTTTCTACAGAGATCCTTGGGAATCGTCGCCGGAGCTAAGGAGGGTGTGGCCTGTGCGACGCTCTCGGCAGGCAGCTAGCTATTCTGCAGAGAGAGACTGAGCTTTATATAGGATGAAGCCCTGGTGTGAAAATCCGGCATTAGACAACTTTACTTCCAACGCCATATTCCTGGTAAACATTACTGTATGGGCCCACCTTTCAGCGGTGGGTAAATTATTAAAATTAACCCTGATGTGGATGGAAATGAACTTTGAGGCTGACCGGCTAATGTTTTTCCACAGTGCCACCATGAAATTAGTGTAGCTTATATTGTTATTCACTCACAAATAATATACAGAGAGAAAAGACAACATCAGAACATATAAGACAAGAAAGAAAGAAAGAAAGAAAGAAAGAAAGAAAGAAAGAAAGAAAGAAAGAAAGAAAGAAAGAAAGAAAGAAAGAAAGAAAGAAAGAAAGAAAGAAAGAAAGAAAGAAAGAAAGAAAGAAAGAAAGAAAGAAAGAAAGAAAGAAAGAAAGAAAGAAAGAAAGAAAGAAAGAAAGAAAGAAAGAAAGAAAGAAAGAAAGAAAGAAAGAAAGAAAGAAAGAAAGAAAGATGAAAACAAGCGAAACCATAGAATAGAACATAGGGAAAACACGAAATGAAGGAGGAAAAAAAGGAAAACAATGAAGAAGGAAAGAAAGTAAGAAAAAGCAGAAGAAAGAAATCATTGGTAGACCAGAAATTAGGGAAAAACGAAACACAAAGAAACAACAAAAAAGAATACAGAAAGATAATGGCACACACAAAAAGAGTGAAACAAACTAACTAACAACAATCTTACATACTAAAACCTATATTACAAGATGTGACTCTGTTATGAATAAATCATAAACGCACATCACAACACTCCTAAAGGCCACAGCACAAAACACACACAGTAACCCCCATCAGCAACAGTACACCAAAGACAGTCGTATATTTTACACGGCTTCTTCTTCTCTTCCAACTCATCGAAAAGGGGGGGGGGGGGGGGAGGAGAAGGAGATATAATGTTCGTTGATGAGCTCTGTTAAGACTTATCATTTCTGTAAGGCTGTTCTTTATGCTATCATTCCCTATTTTCCGAGATCTTCCACTCGCTCTATACCCGTTGTAATGTTTTAGTGTGGCTCGCTGTGGCAGATAGTACCAGGGCATTCTTGTTAGGTGTCCAAACCACTTCATTTGTTGTTCTTTGATGACATGTAAGACTGGCTTTATTCCTAGCATTTGTCTGATTTCATGATTTCGTATTCTGTCTTTCCTTGAAACTCCTGCAGCTCTTCTAAGGCGTTTCATCTTTGTTGTCACAATTTTACATTCATTGGAGGATGTAAGTGTCCACGTTTGGCATTGATAGCATAGTGTTGGTCAAAAAAAATAGTTCTGATAAGTATCACTTTAGTCTTCCGAGGTATCTGCTTGTGTGTCAACAGGGGAGATAGTTGTCCCATTATTTGTTTAGCTTTGGCACATCTGGAGCTACTTTCTCTGTCCAGTTTTCCGTTGGATGTAAAAATTGCTCCCAAATACTTAAATTCCTCTGTTTGTCTCGGCACCAAGAAATAAGAAAACAAGAAAGGTAACAAAACAGCCCATCCTGACAAGAATCCCCCACGACAACAAAATAAACACACAAAAATCAGACGATCAATAGATTCCTCTACTGCCTAAAAGTGCTGGCATGACGAGACAGGCAGCCGAGGAACTGTATCTAACTATTCCCGGGCATATCTAGTGTATACTGTGCAGACAAGATGAAACGAGGCACTTTATTTTTAAATCAACACAAACAAATGAAATCCCGGAGTTCCAGGAAAACTCGAGGCGTGTTATGAGTTAAGGTTAGAATCTTTGACCGACTTGGACAAACCGATAAACCCTAATCTGAACTCTAAACATAACCCTAACCCCAACCCAAAACACCCTTAGAATACTGGACTTTTCCGGGAACTCCGGGATATCCT